TTAAAATGAAGATGAATTTTATAGTTACGATTAATGAAGAAATGTCATGTTTGTATACGTATTACTTATTCTAGAACACAGGCTGGCAAACTATGGCCCATAGCCAAATCTGGATGTTGTCTGATTTGCAAATAAAGTTTTATTGGAACAGAGCCTTGCTTATTTGCTTGTTGTCAACAATAACTGCTTCTTACCTCTAAAGTAGCAGCCCTCAAATGAGCAGATTTTGCCTACCAGGGGATACTTGGCAATGCCTGGAGATATTTTGCGTTGTCACATGAGGGTAGGGGTGACGAGGAGTTGCTGCTGACATCTGAAGATTCTGCTAAATATCTAAAGGCACAGGATAGCCCCACAACCAAAGAATTGTCTGGCCCAAAATCTCAATGGTGCTGAGACTGAAAAGCCTTGCTCTAGAGAACATGTAGGCTGGAAGGATGGTTTCTTACGTTAGGTTTCTGAATCAGGTGAGAGAGTAGCACCTCTTCCTGTCACACATCAGGCAAATGTAGTTTGTACTGTGGAAGCAAAAGCAAGAGACCCTAACAAGATATTATAGCAGCCTTGTGAGGTTTCATGTAGCACTGTGTGAATGCAGGATGTGTAGTAGCAGTTATGCGGCGAGGGTAATGAACAGACGTCATTTCAGAGGGTAGGATGAAATGTCTGGCAGAATGCATCGTTCATGGAGGGACATGTCTTCTACTTCATCATCTTTTCTTCTGGCCCACAGGGTGTGGATATTAATGCAAGAGGCGAGTGGAAGACCTTGCCCGCCCCTCTTGACCACATTAATCTTCATGTCCGTGGGGGCTACATCCTGCCCTGGCAAGAGCCTGCGCTGAACACCCACTTAAGGTGAATGACAGGACTGAGGTTTTCCTTTACATGTCAGTTAGCTTACCAATTTGTAGTGAAGCCCTCCAGATTGTAAGCATCACTCTCAAGCCCACATGCAATTTTACTAAACACTTGTTTTTTCTATAGTCGCGTGTTTGTATTTTAACCTTTATTCAGATGCTACACTGACTGATTATTAACAGATGTTTTATGTTTAAATGGGTGAGATGATAGGTCTAAGAGTGTCATCTTTCAATCTCATGATTGAAATGGAAGTCAAAATAGGGGGAACCATGATTTATAGTAGTTTTAGGATACTATTGGGTCTAATTGAATTTTTTCTAAGAAAACTATTGCTGAAAAATTGTTTATTCCTCTGCAAGATTTTAAACTTTTAGTTCAAAGTTTATATATAAATTAACAATAACTATTATCCAGAACTATATAAATATGTATATTTCTACTTGGAAATTGTCTATTTTTGCTTAATGAAAGGAAAACATAAATTCTGTGATGTTAGTGCTGTTATCACCATTTCACAGATGAGTGAAAAGACTAAGCGATTTACTCAGAGTCACACAGTAAGTAGATGAGCAGAGACTAAAAATCACACCTCTCTGGTATCAATACTAAAATTCTTAGATTCCTTATTCATTTGATTCCAAACATTCAAATAAAAATGAAGAACTTAGGACATTTGAAAATAGGCCTCACTCTACATGTTTAGGATATTAGGTTCCTAAAGCAGAAAGATTTCAGCATTGGGATTTTCCTTTCAAAAGGAAAAGAAAGAACCCAGTTAGTTTGGTTGTCATCACTTTAAGAGCCTTAAAGGAGAATCCTTTTGATCCACTCGCTCATTCATTTGTTCATGATATGAAGTCACATGGCCAGATGGAGACAGAATTAGAACGAAGTCACAAGTCTCTTGAACTCTAGTATGCAGTCTTTATCCCACAAAGCACTTCCCTTTGCTCCTTTATGTTTTATGTAAACTCTTGGTTTGTGGCTGTGGATTTGCTTTTAGCTAATGCCTCTCTTCCACCTCACTGCAGCCGCCAGAAATTCATGGGCTTCAAAATTGCCTTGGATGATGAGGGAACTGCTGAGGGTTGGCTCTTCTGGGATGATGGGCAAAGCATTGGTGAGTAGGAGTTGCCTGGGATTCACGCTCATGGCATTGACTGTATTCCTGGGTATTTTACAGGCCTGCTTTCACCTTTTCCCTGTTAAAACAATTTTGCATTTTAAAATACAACCATTTATTAATTCAAGGGTATAATCCATATTGCACATGATCTTTATGCCTCATAAACGAAGCTTAGTTCTGAATCTCCTCTTATTACTCAACCATTCTAATCCACTATAGGAGGAAGCTATATGGGAGCCACAGGGAAAGTTTATTTGTAGCCAGCTGAGATAAACTTTCATAGGATTCATGGTCAAGGACATATTCCCTAACTTTATGGTTCTTACTGTCCCAGTAAGAGGGGCAATACCTCTATCAGTTGTATTATTTATGGGATATTTTCTATTAGGAGGCTGTAGGAATTGGTAAAATTTCAGGGGGATTTCTCAAGAAATCATTAACTATTTCTAGACAAGTGCTGTCCAATAGAACTTTCTGCAGTGATGGAAATGTTCTATATCTTCTGCTGTTCAATATTGTATCTACTTGACATATGTGGCTATCAAGCACTTGAAATATGACAAGTGCATCTGAAGAATTGAATTTTTGATAGTATTCAATCTTAACAAGCTTAAATTTAAACAGGTAAATTTTACTAGTGACTACTGTCTTAGCACAGTTTTAAGGGATAGCCAGTGGCTACCGAGTGGTGAGTCATTTAGAAAGGGCCTAGCACAGAGGGAAGAGTGTGACAGCCATGAGGGCAGGGTGTAGGATGGGAATTCTTGAAACAAAGCTGTTGACTAGTTCACCTTCACTGGCTGTGCTAAACTTCATCTTCTTCCTGGGCCTGTGGCACACATTTAGGATAAAGGACAAAGAAGCCCTTTCTTTGATCATCTTTGTTCTCTGGAGATCACATTTTTAAAATTGTGTAATACCCCAAGATAAACCCACCAAGAGACCAGTCTTGGTGTTTGTGTATGTATGTGCATATGAATGCATGTGCAGAGATGTGTACAGATAGCAAAAAGAACATGGAAATTCTGAGCCGATTAGGAAGATGTTGGGAATGATAAACCACAAGGAAGAGAAGTGACTTAAAAATCGTGTCAGGAAACTGTGTTATATGACATGACTCTGTCAGACAGATGCATCTATACACATTCATTTCAAACATTTTGTATAAACTGAGTGTGGGTGCACAGTTTGATTAGTCTCCATAATGAGGACTTACATTTTAAAATGGAACACTCGAAAGACAGAAAATAAAAACAAAGATAAGCCTTACTCTCTCAACCAAGACAAGTAGGCAATTAGAAGAGTATTTATATATTCCATAGCATAGAGTTCTATAGCACAGGTCCAGGCCATGTTTATCTTGTTGTTTGTTTGCAGATACCTATGGGAAAGGACTCTATTATTTGGCCAATTTTTCTGCCAGCCAGGTGAGTGTGACTGATATGAAGAGAGAATAGGGTTCTACTGGCTTAGGAGGATGCTGAATGTTGTAAGGGCATAGAATACCACCTAGAATTTCTTCTCATCTTGCTAATTCACATTCTTCTACTTCTCTAGACTTCCGGTGGAAATTTACTGTGCTCCTAGGAAGGCTTTCTGTAATTTAACCTATCAACATCTCATCAGTAATGATCATTATTCCAGTTTACCATGTTACAGATGGACGGGCTGTTTCTGTTATCTAGCCCTTGTTCCTAAGTTGCCTTGGAATGGCCTGCACATTTTGTGATTTTTCCACCTATAGAATATAAGTATCTTGACAGCTGAGACTTTCATCTCCTATAGAGTTCAGGGCAATGTGAAAAACCCTGCAGCTGCTTGTCAATGCAAAGTGGATGGCAGTTGGCCATAGGAGATAGAGTGATGAGATCATGGTTTCCATGATCCAAAGACACAAGATAGTGACTCTGAAGTTGTCTTACTTTATGATCTACATTTGTGCCTAAAAAGAGGTTGGAAAACATTTGAACTAATTCTGCTATTATCTTTTCCTGTTATCTCCAATTCAACAGAATACAATCCAGAGTCATGTAATTTTCAACAGTTACATCACCAGTACAAACCCTTTGAAACTGGGCTACATTGAAATATGGGGAGTGGGCAATGTCCCCATTACCAGTGTCAGCATGTCTGTGAGTGGCATGGTCATAACACCCTCCTTCAACAGTGACCGCACGACACAGGTTTGTGACCAGCAAAACTGCGAATGCCATTTCCCAACCTTAATATACCTAGTGCAGCGCCTTACTGCTTCCCTTCCAAATGATGCCCTCTCCTGCCAGGCCCTCCAGAAATCTCTGTTTTCAGTGTGTTAGGAATGGACAGCATGGAGATGAATGAAAAGTCGTTGTTTATCATCATTTGGAATCCATGGCCTGGATTCTTACTTTCCACGTTTGTCTTCTTGTCTGTAAATCTATGTAAAACTTTGTCTTGACTCTTTTACCTCTGCCTCAGAGATCAACTTCCAAAACAGCTTGAACTATTATATTTTATCAAATATGATACCGTCAGTGAAAAGTTGCTCTATTATTTCATGTGCCACAAAGAAAAAAGGATGACAAAATTATGATAGAATTTCCTTATCACTCAAATGTTTTTTACAATAAACTTATAGAAAGTTTTTGAAAATTCTTTAGACATAAATTTTTATCTGTATATTTCAATATTGTAAGTGATAATAGGGAGGAAGATGTTGAGTGGAGATACAGTGATGATTCTGCCTCAAAGTAATTTAGAAGAGGTAGACCCTGAATGTGAAGAAGTGCTAGAAATATCTTACCTAACTTGTATCAATTTATTATTATTTATTATTTATTATTTCAATTTGTATTCAAGTCTTTTATTATTTAAATTTTATTTGTATTATTTAAATAGTTTGTTTATTACTATTTAAAAGAAAAATACATGTTACAAATTGGTTATTTCCTCTGTACTGCAAAAGGTGTTTGTGATTCAGGATTTCACAAAAATTCTTCCACTCCTGTCTATGCAATTTTTTCCTGAGCCACTAACACACTTTATATACATTTTCATCCTAGTACTTTCTTGATCTTACAAACTATTCCTTCCTGTAATAATCCTTAAATGGTTTTCAGTCCATCCATTCCTAACACAGTAATAGCAATAAAGTTTACACAGGCACAGACAATAACAATTATGTCATGAGTGCTGCCTGGCTCACAGTAATTCTATGGTTGCTGATTACAAGATACACTCTGGTCTCTTGAATGTTAAATATGTAAAAAATCTATACCTTGGGATTAATGCAGTGTAGTGGTGCTAACATGTATCATCCTGATGGTAAATGAAACTTCCTTAGGTGCTTACCATTTTTGTCTGAGCTTTTTTTCTTTCATAATCCTTCCTTATGACTAGGCCTGAAACAAAAGTTTTCTTTCAGTTTTGCATTTTTTAGATTTATTTCCTCATACTTGTGGTTTTCATGTCAACAACTTCCCCAACTTTACCGTAAAGTACTTTGCCCAAACCTCATGGACAGACATACAAGCTGATGAGGGCACGTGAGGTGAAACCTTCTTGACAGCATCTGCCTAGGAAGAAACAGGAATAGTGGACTCTTGCTGGGCAATCTTTGGGGTGCTATGGAGGAACAGGAGGAGGAGGAAACAGAAGGATGGCGCCAAGGAAAATCAACACCTCAGTAGAATGAAAAAGAGGGTGTTCTCTCCAGTTTGTGCAGTTCTTTCTCTTCAGTGGTTGCATATTAAATTTTTTTTTCTTTTGAGACTGAGTCTCACTGTATTGCCTTGGCTGGAGTGCAGTGGCATAATCTTGGCTCACTGCAATCTCTGCCTCCTGAGTTCAACCAATTGTCCTGCCTCAGCCTCCCAAGTAGCTGAGATTATAGGCACCCACCACCACGCCCCCCTAATTTTTGTACTTTCAGTGGAGATGGGGTTTCACTATGTTGGCCAGGTTGATCTTGAACTCCTGACCTCAAATGATCCACCCGTCTTGGCCTCCCAAAATGCTGAGATTACAGGATTTAGCCACCGACATGGGCCATGTTGAATTATTTCAAGGCTCATCTATACTGTTGAATAATGTTTGTACTCTAAAACATTAGAAAACACCCTCTCATCTGAAAATCTGAGGGCAGTCTTTTAAGTAGACAATACAATGTAGAAGTTTTAGGAGGCTCTTTGGACTGTATTTATTTGCATGCAGAAATTTCAACACGGGATGCCCAATTGTTTTCCTTTGGTTCTTAACAGGTGCTAAGCATCGATGTGACTGACAGAAACATCAGCCTACATAATTTCACTTCATTGACATGGAGAAGCACTCTGTGAATTTTTAGAGCAAGATCCTAACTATGAATGACTTTGAAACTAATACACTTCATACTCATAAAAATTATTGTGTGTGGCTAATGGGTTCATTCTCATTACTGGTGAAATATTTTTGTTAATTTTGTTATATGTTTTGCGTGTGAACCCTAAAGGTTAAATCTTACCCCTGTGGGATAGCAGTAGGGAGGTGTGGAAAATCTGTGTATTACCTTAATGTCTCTATGTGGTTAGAATGGTAGTGATTGTTCATCATATGACATTTACTGAAGAAGAACTGGGTCCATGATGAAGTGTATGTCCATATGTGTAATCATGGAATGGACCCCATTCTCTTGCTAAATACACAAGAAAAAGCTTTCTGTGACAGTTCCAGGTCTTGAAGCTAATCATTACCTCAAGAAAGTATCCAGAAAGAACATCTGCTAGTTGGTTTTAGGCGGGTCAGAGTGGGGAACAATACACCTAATTGGTTATAGGTGGGGTGGGGGTGGGGCGATCATGATAAGGGAAGAAAAGGCAAACACAAGGACAGATCAGAGGAAACAGAAGATGATAGTAAAAGTGATCACAAGTAAGAACATAATGTGAAATTATCAGCAGCCTCATGGGGAGGAAAACGGAAGAGTCAACTCACCTGAGAGAAGAGGGTCTTGAGAAATCCCTAGCATGTGGGGATAGCGGCGAGAATCAGATCTGAGCAGGCAAAACTGAAGAGAAAGTTTGGAGGGTAAAAATAATTTATTTTCACAGTAGTTTGCTTTGAAATGTGTAAATCCTATTTTTTTTTTTTTTTTGAGATGGAGTTTCACTCTTGTTACCCAGGCTGGAGTGCGATGGCACCATCTTGGCTCACTGCAACCTCCGCCTCCTGGGTTCAGGCAATTCTCCTGCCTCAGCCTCCAGAGTAGCTGGGACTACAGGCGCGCGCCACCATGCCTAGCTAATTTTTGTATTTTTAATAGAGACGGGGTTTCACCATGTTGACCAGGATGGTATTGATCTCTTGACCTCGTGATCCACCTGCCTTGGCTTCCCAAAGTGCTGGGATTATAGGCGTGAGCCACCGTGCCCGGCCGTAAATCCTATTTCTAATGTATATAACCACATTTCACACAAAATACACAATTTCTATGCCAGATAAAAATAAACCAAGTGAATTTACATGAGATTTTGAATTTTGTGACATTTTCACTGTAAGTAATCTGTTTGGGGTTATCGTTCTTGTTTAGCAAACTTTTATGAGTTTGTCTTTCTGACTCTCTTCAGCATCACAGAGCCTGCAGCCAAATCCACCAATGGGTTGATAAAATTTATAATTATCCGTTCTTTTTCTTTTTTTTCTTTTTCAATTTTTCAGCTTTTATTTAACTTGAACTTTAATACATTATCTATTAGAATGATGATTTATATTACTGCAGTGAGTCTTTTATAAGATGTAGGTTTGTGGAAGGGTCTATTGATTATTATTTTAATCATCATAGCAGTTGCTATATTTAGTAAAATATCAACTCTGGTAAAAATAGGAGTTACAACCCTCTTGCTTAAAATTCTAGAGGGTTAAAATTTGAGATAATGAAATTATATATTAATGTTTAACAGGAATATTAACTTTTGACGTTATCTGAAAATGAGTTGAAAGTGTTGTTTGGAATGAATGAGTCTACTTCCTTGCATTTTCGCCTTTTCTTATAACCAGGAAGTCATTCATTCTCCTGCACTTTCATGAGTCAGCAACTTCATAAGGCTAGAGACAAACATATTGTTAAATTAACTTAATCATCTAATTATCACAATAAGGGGCATTTGGATGAGGGCCTGAGCTAACGAGGAAACTAGTGAAACATGGAAAACCAGCCACGGGAATCCTTTGATCAAAAAGATGCGAAATTTGTCAACTCTCCTCTAACAAACTCAGGAAGGCTACAATGATGGAAACATTATTTACTTGATATTTAAGAAATATGTAATAGCCAGGCACGGTGGCTCATGCCTGTAATCCCAGCACTTTGGGAGGCTGAGGCGGGTGGATCACGAGGTCAAGAGATCAAGACCATCCTGGTCAACATGGTGAAACCCCGTCTCTACTAAAAATACAAACAATTAGCTGGGCTTGGGGTGGGTACTTGTAATCCCAGCTACTCAGGAGGCTGAGGCAGGAGAATTGCCTGAACCCAGGAGGCGGAGGTTGCGGTGAGCCAAGATCGCGCCATTGCACTCCAGCCTGGGCAACAAGAGCGAAACTCCATCTCAAAAAAAAAAAAAAAAAAAAATGTAATGTTACCATCAAGGATATATTGGTGGAATTTGGCTCCAGCTGCCACAGAGTGCTTAAGGGGAAGCATTCTGATTACATAATTCTGATTGCCAAGGCCCTAGTGAGGCCAGTGGGGTTTTGGAGCATGTGAAGTGTCAGGGACCCCACTGGCAGCCCAGTGAAACCTACGAAATTCCCCCTCACAACATTGTTTGCAAATGCATCAAGCAAAATCCATGCTATTTCAAAGAAAACATTAAAATACATTTATCCAAATATTAAAGAAAAATGGATATAGTAACCCATGAGGTGTGTTTTTCTCATCAAATTAAAAGATCCAACAGTGGAAGTAACAATGCCACAATTTCAAGGTAATGATCAACATGAACAATATTTTGAGATATCCGCTACAATTTCATAATGTAATATGGAAGGATCTGTGATTCCATTTTTGACAAACTCATGTGCTGGGAAAAACTACTGTGCTCTGTTGTCGACATTCATAACCTAACCAAATGCTAAATTTCAGCCACGGATGTATGAGAAAGAGACATATATTTTTCTATTTATGTTTACAGAGTAAGTTATGCCTGTGTCCCCTTTGGAGGTCTAGAGACTCAGGAACCCCTAGATGTAGGTGTACGCGCGTCCCAGACTCCAGCAGCTCCGACCCTGTGTTGTTGTCACTGTCCTGGGAGCAGCGTCAGTCTGTTTCCCGTCTCCTGAATTCACTTTGGCTTATTTTAAAAAATTAACTGAATAATTAAATGTTTAATTAACGATTAAAACTATTAATTTTATAAAATCATATAACTATAGTTAATATATATAAAATATATTTTACATTATAATTTATAATTTTATAAAATATTAACAAATTTTATATTAATATATAGTAGGCATATAGTATATAGTATAAATACATATTTTTTACATGTAGTTATGGTAAATAGGTATTTATATATAGTAGATATATAGTATAAATACATATTTGTATATATAGTTATGGTATATAACAGGTATTTATATGTAAATAATAGAATGGCTAAATCAAGCTAATTAACATACCTATTATCTCACATACTTATCATTTTTTTGTGGTGACAACACTTTACATTAACTTTCTTAGCAATTTTCAAGTGTATAATACATATTTGGCTTCAAAGAACCTGGATCCACAAGGCCATGCAGACCTTCAGTCTAGAATGAAGAAGAGTCTTAGCAGCAGCTCTGGGAAGGGTCGGGGGAGCTGGGTCTGTGGCTCCCTTAGCTTCTCTCCCTGCAGCAGCGTTGGCCACCTCTATGGATAATGCAGCATCCTTCCCCTCCTGTCACAGGGGTTAGGTCCACTGGTTGGAACGTTTTATGCTGCTTTTATTTGAGGGAGGAAAACTCAGAAGCAAGCTCTAACATTCAGGAGTTTTGGTTAAGTCATTTTGTCTCTCTCAGTTCTGGTTTCCTCATCTGCAAAATTCTGGTGTCAAACTAAAACTATGATTTCCAAATTGTGGAGCTGTGCAGAGCCCCAGGGCCTTTCATTCCTCCCCAGGGGGAGGAAAAAGGCAGACTGGCAGGGTTCTGGCTTCAGTCCATCACGTATTACATACTGGAATCCTATTTGAAGAAGGAATTAAAATATACATATATGTGTGTGTGTGTGTATGTGTCTGAGTGTGTATATATATAACATATATAATATATAAATATATATATTTAATATAAAAATATATTTATATAAATATAAATAATATCTGCAGTACCTTGCTACTAATAGACAACTGGAAGATGTAGGGTCACATGCTTGGCTTTACCCTTCAAAATGGCTCTGTTATTTTCTCATTGGTCAACACCAGCATGGTGATCCAATATCTTCCAGTTGCTAGTTAGCAAGAAGGGGTGGTGAAGGTAGCTGTTTTCTGCACTTTAGGAAACAGGTTATAGATTCCCTGGACCTGATCGTTTACCACTATAACATAAACAAAGTCACAAATGTGCACAGCATGTGGGGAGCTAAAGGTAAAGTATCACACAAAGAATAGAAAGTTCTGTGTAACAATAAATCTCCCTTCTTGATCTTTTGCCAGGATATCTTCCCAATTTGAAAGGAGATCTAGGTACATTTCCTGTCTAACAAAGGCCACCTTGTACTGGGGCAAATGAAAAGCTGAATATGTCTTTCTAGGAGTTCATAAATGCAGAAACCTAGTCTCTCTCTCTTTCTCTGTGTGTGTGTGTGTGTGTGTGTGTGTGTGTGTGTGTGTGTGTGTGTGTTTCCGTATACTGAGCATTTGAAGCAAACACAGAGGATTCACTACTATGAACAATGTTATTTACAGTCCTTAGGTGCCACCAAAAGAGCCCTCTGTACCCTCATATATTACTGGTGGGAATGGGGATGTAAAATCGTGCTGCCACTTTAGAAAGCAGTTTTGCGGTTCTTCAAAAAGTGCAACAAAGACTTATCACATGACCCACGATTCCACTCCTAGGTATATTCCAAGAAGAATTTTTTAAAAAATGTTTCAGGTCATAGCAGCATTGTTCGTAGGAGGCAAAAATATAAACAACCTAGATATATATCAACGGATACGTGGCTAAACAAAATGTGTTCTATCCATGCGGTGGATACTATTCAGACATGAAAAGGAACAAACACCGATACCTGAAAAGGCATGGATGAACTTTGAAAATATGACAAGTACAAGAAGCCAGACACAGATGGCCACATATTGTATGAATGCATTTATATGAAATGTTTATAAATAGGCAAATCCATAAAGACAGAAAGTAGATTAGTGGCTGCAGAAATAGGGGAAGATGGAAATGGGGAGTGACCACTAATTTTTTTAGGGAGGGTGATAAAAATGTTCTGGAATTAGTGGTGATAGTTTCACAATTTTGTAAATTAAAAAAACCCCACTAAATTGTACACGTTAAAAAAGTGAATCTTGGCCGGGCTCAGTGGCTCATGCCTGTAATCCCAGAACTTTGGGAGGCTGAGGCAGGTGGATCACCTGAGGTTGGGAGTTCAAGACCAGTTTGATCAACATGGAGAAACCCTGTCTCTACTAAAAATACAAAATTAGCCGGGCATGGTGGCACATGCCTGTAATCCCAGCTCCTGGGAGGGCTGAGGCAGGAGAATCATTTGTACCCGGGAGGTGGAGGTTGCAGTGAATCGAGATTGTGCCATTGCACTCCAGCCTGGGCAACAAGAGTGAAACTCCATCTCCAAAAAAAAAAGAAAAAGAAAAAGAAAAGAGTGAATCTCATGGTTTGGAAATTATATATTAATTAAAAAATCCACTTTAGCTAGCTTAAGAAAAAATTTAAAAAGACATTGGTGACTCATTGAAACTCCAAAAGGAATAGAGAGAGCCAGGTTTACAGGCCATGTGGCTAGGAACAAGCCCCAGGTTACCTTGTAGGGGTTTCTCCTGCCACTGCCCTGAGCACATATCTGGCAGCTTGCAACACTAAATACTGAGCATAGGATGCCGCTAGTTCTCTTGTCCCTGGTGCCTCTGAAACAAGCTATCTTCCCAACATCCTGGATTTTACCTGTTACCTCCTTAACTATACCTTCTTCTGGATCTAAGTCACTCGCAGGAATCTCTCCTTCACAAAGCTCCAGCCACTTATCTCTACCTTGGCTGAAAGGGAGGCTGTGAAAGAGAATTTCTAGCTGTTTCTTTGGGGAGGCAGAATTTGGAAAGAAATTCCTTAATTTAAGTCAGAGTATATTTTTTCTTTTTAAAGATCCTCTGTTTTTAATTTCTTTTCAACTGGTATTTTAGATTCAGGGTCTAAGATTCAGGGTGCATATACAGGTTTGTTTCAAGGTTATGTTGTGTGATGCTGAGGTTTGGGGTGTGATTGAACCTGTCATCTAGGTAGTGAGTATAGTACCCAATAGGTAGGTTTTCGATCCTTTTCTCCCTCCCCACCTCTCCCTTCTTAGCAAGAGGTTTTGAAAGATGCTGAGCCATTAAAGAACATGACAAATATCCACTAGAGGCGTCTTCACACTTTAGGTTTGTGTAATTTCTATTTTAATGGTACTTATTTAGAATAATTGGTGGAAAGGATCATTTGAATTAATAAAAAGCTGAGTTATGCCAAGAGAGCTCTGGACAATGAAAATGGAGAAATGAACAAAGTGATAAACCGAGAGCTAACCCTTCTTTTGCTTACTTATTAAACAAGTAACTATATATTTAAAAAGAACTATGGATATTAGGCAGAGTGCTAAGTACAGGAGATACAACAATGAAGAAGATAGACAAGACCCTAGCTCTTGATCCCTTTAGGCTACATGGACAGACAAGGAAGCATAACGTGACAAGCAAAGTAATCAGATATGAATAGGGACACAGAGGAGGAACAACAATTAGAAAAAAAACACCTTCCCTTTTTATTAACAAGTGGAGCTTTCATTCTGTGTCACATGGAGAGCCAGGGTTCCTTTATGATCTATTGAAATATGCACTCCCCTCCACCATTTGCTGTCAACTTTATAGGCCAATAAATTAATTGTGGCAGAAGCTGGCTACCTCAGCCCAGTTACCTTTGCTCAGTGCTCCCTATGAATCACTGAGGGAGAGACACGAAACAAACGAGGTGATGAGGTGAGTACGCTTTTTCATGCAAGCAGTGCTTCCAACAGGGGTGGGGGGTCGCTTTCTCTTTATGCGATTTTCTGTCTGCTGCTCCGTTAAGTGATCTGGATGCCCATACTTTGCTTCTGGGCCCAATACTTTCTTCCTTTTCTGTAAAAAATGAGGAGTGAGGATGAGAGAGTTAATGGAGAGGAGAGACCTGTGTGTGTGTGTGTGTGGTATCAGGGTTTGGAGGACAGCTTGGGGGAGGTCTAGTATGAGATGCTCCTCTCTCATTGGGAGAAATTAAAGACAGAGGAAACAGATGGGATCCTTCTGGAAATGATCTCAAGATGGCATGGATTTGGAGGAAGGTGAATGCCTCCCGGATTCGTGCAGGAAACGTTTCTAAGTAGGGAAGAATTTCTACCTTCAGAAACCCCCATTCTGTCCTCTGCCTGAATGACAATAGCTCCTATGGTGGGAAAATGCCTGGGGTTATTCCTAGAATGTTCTTGAACTTCCTGAGCTAAGGTGCTGAACCTGCTCCCTCAGGAGGATTGAGGAGCTGCGGGAGTAGGTGCTCGCTGCTGAATTTTAGAGGCTAGAAAGAAAAAAGTCTCCGTGTGGAGAGAAGCAATACTTGGAGAAAGAGACTAATTGATGAATAATGTGTTTGCTGTGGTGTTGAGTTGTGGGCTGTATGTATAAGAAATGAAATTTGAAACCATACCACACTAGGGAGGATCCTTCATATTTCTTTCACTATGGAAATTTCACCACTGGAGACAGATCCTCTAGGTCTTTAAACTCTGGAGCCTAGGATACATTGTGGAGAGTGTATTTTATTTTTAAACGTAGTGGCTGTTAGTGTTTGTCTCAGTTCCACCACTAACCGTGACTAGACAAAATTCCTTAATATTCATTATAAAATGGAAATAATATCTATCTGATCAACTTCAATGCAGGGATTTTATGAGAATACAGTAATATGATATATATTTTATGTGGATTAGAGTATATTGTTTAAATAATTTAGACTAAAAGAGAGACAATTGATTAATTTAGGTAACTAGTAAAAGAATAGTTAAACCCCAATTTTAATCCCAAACCCCAGTGTCTCCAAGGGCTAAGGGTTCTTCCTAAATGCCTATTGGCAAATTACATGTAGGTCCTGGTTCCTTACCTCTATTTCAATATTAAAGTCCTTCTTTTATTGAATTATTACACATTGACCTAAAGGCTACTATAATTAAAAATTGAAGCTATATACCTTTATAAAAATATTTATACAAGTGGTCATGGCATTGGGGAGGAGTCGGGAAGAGCAGGGATACAGGGAAATGTGAAATAAGAGGAGATGCAAAATAAACACAAAAACAACAGAGAGAAAATTATTTGTCAACGTTGCCTTATATTTAATAGTTTGTTGCTGCATAAGTGCTGGTTTAGTATGATGGGAATAAGGGGAGAGGAGAGGCTGAGCAGCTGGCCTTAGGAGGTGCCACAAAGACCTTTGATCACAAAGCTAAAGTGTTTTTGGTTTATTCAGAGATCCATGAAAGGCTTGAATATAAGAGATCCAAATGACCTTGTTTGTGCTGGTCACTTGGGCAATGACCCAAAGATACAGGGAAAGTAGTCCGATTGAACTGGTAACTGACTGTGAGAACTAACAGAAAGAGAGGAATTTTTAAAAGATTCCTAGATTGTGGTTGTTGTTTTTAATGTGATTCTTTTCCTCAAGTTATTAATTATTTGAGGAACAGACAATATGGCCAAATTGGCAGGAATTGGAACTGAGGTTTGGGGAGAGATGATTTCATGTTTACACGTGTTACATTTGGTTGAATCTGTGGGACATCCAATAGGCAGTTGAGTATACAAATCTAAATATCTGGGCTAGAAATACAGGTTGTATTGCCATCACATGTTACATAAAGTCACATGAGTGGCGGAGATTACTCAAGGGGTGTGAGTAGTTTAAAAAAGAAACTTACATGAGAATTTGGGAAATATCTACATTTAATGAAAAAGGATTGGGCACGGTGGCTCACACCTGTAATCCCAGCACTTTGGGAGGGCTAGGTGGGTGCATCACCTGAGGTCAGGAGTTCAACGCCAGCCTGGTCAACATGGTGAAATCCTGTCTCTGCAAAAATACAAAAATTAGCCGGGCATGATGGCGGGTGCCTGTAATTCCAGTTACTCGAGGGACTGAGTTGGGAGAATCGCTTGAACCTGGAAAGGGGAGGTTGCAGCAAGCCAAGATGGTGCCATTGCACTCCAGCCTAGGGGACCGGGCAAGACTCTGTCTCAAAAAAAAAAAAAGGAAAAGCCAGAAATGCAGGGGGAAAACCAAGATTCCTATCAAGGCATCCATAGGTGGAAAGTTTGATAGAGGAGGAAGTGTTTGATAGTGCTAGAAGATTAAGGCAGCACCCATTGTATTCAGCCACCTATGTCATTGGTAGCCTTGGTGGGAGCATTTCCAGTGGAATGCAGAAAACACAGCCAAGCCAGTAATACCATGAGGAAGGGAATTATCATTTTGGAAGATTAGCTATGAAAGGAAAAAGAAAGTTATCCTGCTACCTGGAGAAGCACACAGTCATTAACAGAGTTTGGGGTGATTTGGGATACATTTATGAAGGAAAAATATTCAGACAGTGAAGTTGATAATGCAAGAAAAGAAGAGATAATTGGTGGAATAAGATTTTTGAGAAATTCAACAGCTGTGAGATCTAGATAACAGATGCAAGGATTATGCTTAAACAAGAAGAGGAAAAACCGGTCATTGAGAAGAGGGGGAAAAATAAGAATTTACCTAGATGTGTATAACCTTTGTGGAAAAGCTTGGGTTGAGAAGCAGAGAAAGGGAATAGTTTCTGCAAAATGTTACTTTCTATGTGATATCGGACGTGCTATTGCATTAGGATAAGAATGTAGGTAACAGAGGTCAGGCCTGAAAAGAAGGATAGAAGGACCAATTTTTAAAAGTACTGCTGTGAGGCCAGGCACGGTGGCTCATGCCTGTAACCCCAGCACTCTGGGAGGCTGAGGCAGGTGGATCACTTGAGATCAGGAGTCCGAGACCACCATGGCCAACATGGTGAAACCCTATCTATACTAAAAATACAAAAAAATTAGCCACACATAGTGGCATGCACCTGTAATCCTAGCTACTTAGGAAGCTGAGGCAGGAGAATCCCTTGAACCTGGGAGGTGGCCGAGATCGCACCACTGCACCCCAGGGTGAGACTCCATCTCAAAAAAAGAAATAAAAATAAAAATAAAATGACTGCTATGCAAAGTGGGAGCACTGTCAAGACCATCAGTCGGCTTGCAGGCCCAGTTTATTTAGGAGATTATGAGCCTCAGTGGCATCTCCCTTGAGCTAGGTATGTCAGCACAGAAGGTAGACGTTTGGATGGATACTTTTATCCTGCAGATTCTGTTAGCAGATGGGGAGCAAGGAAGATGAGAGCAATGGCACGTTAAACAATCAATACTGAGGGCTAGGTCAAACAGGGTTAACAGCTAGGAAGTGCTAAGAGATTTAAAGGAAATGGAAAGAAAGCAGCAGCCTTGATATGATAAAATACTTTTTAAAAATAAAGTAAGGCAATGAGATAGTAAAAGGACATATCCTCATTTACGTATGGATTTACAATTTCACAAGTGGAACAGTTCTGAGGATAAATTCCAGGGGCTAGCTAACATATAGGATGATGGAGATGGAATGGCGATGAAGTCATTGCAGCTGAGGGCTGTCATGGATCTGTGAGACATATAATAATGTTAGATTTATTATAATTAGATCAGAAAAATGGGAACACATCCAGTGCTTGATCTAATTTTTGTAGACGAAGAAATACAGGTCCAAATAGGTAAATAGCCCATCTGTTAGTAAAATCAGGTTAAGCATTCAAGCTTTTTGATTCCCAGTTCAGTACATCCTCCAATATAGAAAGTATTTTAAATCTTGGATCAATGAATGATCTTTAGAATTACTGGGAGCCACCTACTTTATGTGAGTTGTGTGCAATGACCATATCAACAAACCTTATGGTGGGCATAAGGATCATTTTTGTTACCAGATTCTTGATAGTGTCAGTGACCTTTAAACAGTCTAAATAGTGACCTCAGCATCCTGCCCAAGGCAGTTGAAAGTTCCCAAGACGACTTGGATTTAAGTTTTGCTACTTTCTGTCACCCTGAGCATACCTTCGTGTCTACCACATTAGGTGGATGTGAAGATCCAAGCGACATCTAAAGGGTTTTGTGACCTACCTGATCCCCTCATCTCTCTTCTGTGTGTTATTCCACAACCTTTTCCCCTTCAGTTCTTCATGTCTGATATACTTTTCCTTGGACAATCCTCAATTCCTCTGCATGCGAAAAAGGCAAGAGCTCTACAGGTGTTGGTTGTAAAGGTAGAGTTACTTAGGGACACTGTGATAAGTGGAAACAAATATTCGTTAGATTATGTAAAAAGGATGGCAATAATCAAGGTCATCTTGCAAACAAATCCACGTTTGGCTATAATGATACGTAAGTATCCTCTTAGACTGGTGGGGCCTTGCGATTTGTTTTAATCCAATTATCTGTGTCTATCTAGATGGCGAGGAAGCTCAGTGTATTGGAAGTCCTTCTGATCATCTTCTGCCTAATTGTGGTGGCCATAGATATTCTCTTGTTTCTTCTTGTATTGGATGAACTTTCAGGTAAAGGAGATGCTGGTGGCTTCTGGGTTGGAAGGTTGGGTAAAGGAAGTCCCCTCTGGATGCCAAAGAGATTATTTTATTCTTTCACTTTTCAGTATGCCACTGCATTGCAGTATTCAAAATTCACATCCCCAATTAGTTTAAGTGAATCTCCAAAAGATAAGTGTTCTTTGCACTGAAACCCTGGATGTTAGTGATATTTAGGGTCTCCCAAGCCCCATTTGGTGCAGTTTTAAAATTAGGCTTACCAGACGCCTGCCCTTCAACCCAGAGTCATGAAGTCAGATGGCCTTCAATGAGAAATGGCTGTTAAGGTAACAGTGGAAAAGGAAGCTAAGGTTACAGGGAAGCAGAGGGCTGATTGGCCTAATTATACCAACATGGATGACATAGCTATGGTTTCTTCATAGTGCCTTTGAAACTGTTTCTCTCTCTCTCTCTCTCTCTCTCTCTCTCTCTCTCTCTCTCTCTTTCAGACACGCAGAAGCATCAAACAGAATGCCTTCTCTTTCAGGCACATATTATTCTCTAAATAATAAAATGTATGTAATTCAAAAATGTATTTTCATTTAAAGCTGAATTTGGGGTTTGTTCTACTTGACAAGCTCACTTTATAGATGTGAATTAAGCCTACAGTGAAAAGAAGCTGTCCTAATAGTAGAACCCTACCTGCTCCATCTCTTTCACTTCTCTCCACAGCAAACATTAAGACACTTTCGACCAGCCTGACCAACATGGTGAAACCCCATCTTAAAAAAAAAATAAATAAGTAAATAAAATAAAATAAAATAAAAATTAAAAAAGACACTTTCTAGGAACTATTATAACTTTGAAAGATGATCTGAAAACCATTGATGTAAGCCACATTGAGCCTATTCCTATAAGAAGTCTCATGAGATTGCGATCCAGTCCATGTAAATAATCGGTTTCTTTAATTTGACATAAAACTAGATCTTCACACCTGGATTCACCCTAAACCACATTCTGATTCATGCAGAGTAGTTCTACTTTTAACTGTCTTATATACTGAACTTTTCTCTGTTTTTTTTTTTTGAAAGATATATTTGCAGGGGTTGAAAAGGGGGCTTTAATATCAATTTGTTTTTATTGTGGTGAGAACAGGTAACATGACATCTACCCTCTTACTGGATTTTTAAGTGTACAATACAGTATTGTTGTCTACTGAAACAATGTTGTACATCAGATTTCTGAAATTTATTCACCTTGCATAACTGAAATACTGTATATATGGATTAGCAACTCTGCATTCCTGGTTCCGCTAACTCTTGACAACCACTATTCTCTTCTTTGCTTCTATGAGTTTGACTATTTTAGACAATTTATATAAATGGAATCCCAGAGTATTTGTCTTTTTATGACTGGCTTAATTCACTTTGCATAATGTCCTCAAGGTTCATCCATATTGTTGCATATTTCAGGAATCCAGTTTTAAGACAAATTTTTATTGACATACATGCATATATACACAAACAAATGTAGAGTCATAAAGATAGGAAAGATATTTGGGGACTTTGTTTTGAATCAAAACAAAAGCATTAAAGAGTACCTGTTAATGCCCACAGTAACTGTTTCCTCTAAATGAAGATGAAATTTGGGATTTCAGATGGCTCATGGGGTCCATGAAGCAATCCTGCCTCAGCTGTTATGAGGGGCGACTCCACAAAGTTGCTAAAGGCAAAAGTAAGAATAGCCAATGTTGAGTGAAGGTGTATATTTCCAGTGGGGCCAATAATATCTTCCAGTCATGTAGCCAGAGCCATGTGGTGTCTTTAAGCAGCTGTGCCTCTAAATAAATGACTAAAGAAAAACAGTAAGAAAAAGAACTTTCCAAGCTATTTTAACAGGGCTTCCCTGGTAACAAAATAAATAATGTTGGATCCCTACCTGACAACATATGTAAACATTAACTCAGAATTGATTAAAGACCTATATATAAGAGCCGAAACTCTCATACTCTGAATACTCAAAGCACAACAGCAAAAAAAAAAAAGGCAAACTGGACTTCATAAAATTGAAAACAACTTTGTGCTTTGAAGCACCCTTTGAAGAAAACTATCAAGATGTGAAAAATAATCCACAGATTCAGGGAACATAGTTGCAGACGAAGTATCTGATGCTAGACCCTTATCAGATACATCATTTGCAAATATATTTCTTTATACATCCTAAGATAATACATTAGGATATAAGAGAACATATTCTCTTAGGATGTACAAAGAAATATAAAAAATCCAAAATTTTTTTAAAAAGATTTTTAAATAAGTAAAACATTTAAATAGACATTTTCCCAAGGAAATCTGTAAATGGTCACTAAACTCTTGAAAGTATATTCAACATCATCGGTTATTTGGAAAGTGCAAGTCAAAACGATGTCGCTTCACACCCACTAGGATGACTGTAATTAAAAACAGATAAAAACAAGTGTTGTTGAGGTCACAGAGAAATTGGAATTCTTATACATGGCTAATGGGACTGTAAAATGGTGCGGTCACTTTGGAAAAGTTTGTCAGTTCCTCAAAAAGCTAAAGATAGAGTTAACCACATGACCTAACAATTCCACTTCTAGGTTTACAACCAAGATAACTGAAAACATAGGGCACAGAAAAACTTGTATGTGAATGCTCACAGCAGAATTATGTATAACAGTAAAAAAGTAGCAACAACCCGAATGTACATGAACCGATGAACAGATAAACAAAATGTGGTATATCCACACAAAGGAATGTGATTCAGCCATTAAAAGCAAAGACGTATTGATACATACTACAACGTGGATAAACCTGGCAAATGTTACGCCAACTTGGCCTAAGTGAAAGGAGCCAGGCACAAAAGACCACATATTTTATGATTCTTTGTATAGGCAATGTTCAGAATGGGGAAATCCATAGTGTTAGAAAATAGATTCATGTTTACCAGGGACTGGGAGAACAGGGGAATAGAAAATAACTGCTAATGGGTATGTTATTTCTTTTTGGGGTGATGAAATTGTTCTGAAATTAGATAGCGGTCATAGGTCATACAACTTCACAACTAAAAACCATTAACATGTACACTTGAAGAGGGTGAATTTTATGCTATATAAACTGTATCTGTTTAAAAAGCAAACAAACTAGAAATAAGTGTGTTTAGCCTTGGAGAAGTGTTAAACATTGTATGCAAATGTAATTACCAGCTACTGGTAATCTGTTGTCTGGAGAATTGGCTGAAAGTCTGTAACTTTGTGGCTTCCTTCCTGGAACTCTAATGATTACACTACACATTTTCAACGTTACCCTTTGATTCCTATGCAGATAATTCATTTACTCCAGAGTGTCCAGAGATTGACCAGTCGGACAGGATAGACTGCACACCCGGCCAGGCGGTGACAGAGGTCAGAGAAATAAGGTCCTTTTGGTGGCCTGCTGGATGTGATTGAAAAGCAATGAATATGTGAAGTGGGGAAAGGGTGGGGTGGCATGGCTTCTGGGCCTCTGATTTGTTTGGAATTATTTCTTTCTTACCTTACTGAAATAACAATATTAAGAATGCGAGGGAAGCAGGGTTGAGAAAGGAAGAGTAGGAAAAGCTAACAAGAATGTTAATCTGTGTATTATAAAGTCTAAAGTGGAGGGTGATTACAGGTGTTAGAAATGTACCTTAGACGTGACTTCAAGGATTGTGGTAGAAAGGTTAGATGTTTGTGGGCTAGACTGTGTATTCTTTGAGAACAGAAGTCATTAACCACATGCAAATAGGCAAATCAATAGTGATAGAAAATCGATTAGCATTTACCTGAGTCACTGGCTGAGTCACTTGCAGAACTCAGGCAAGTTGTCACAACAAGAACCTTCTGGAATTATGTTATTGGCAATAGAGGTCCCAATGAACATGTGGTAGAGAACACAAGTTTTCTCCCCGAGCAGCTTCTGTAGAATATCGGCTACCTGAACCCTGCTTAGTTGTGACTTATGACTTTCTCATAAAAATTGTATATATTTATATATTTAAACTTTATTTCTTTACCCTGTATTCTACATTCTATATCTTCTCGAGATATTAATTAGGTTAATTGAATTTTAGGTTAAATTTTAAACAATATTGACATTTTGATAATTTTGAATCTTCTTGTTATAAAAACATATAAAGTATCTCTATTTCAGCTTTTTTCATATATATATATTTCTTTCTTTTCTTTTTCTTTTTTATTTCTTTTTTTGAGACAGAATTTTGCTCCTGTTGCCCAGGCTGGAGTGCAATGGTGCGATCTCGGCTCACTGCAACCTGCGCCTCCTGGGTTCAAGCAATTCTCCTGCCTCGGCCTCCCGAGTTGCTGGGATTACAGGCATATGCCACCACGCCCAGCTAATTTTGTATCTTTAGTAGAGACGGGGTTTCTCCACGTTGGTAAGGCTGGTTTTGAATTCCTGACCTCAGGTGATCTGCCCGCCTCAGCCTCCCAAAGGGCTGGGATGATGATGATTATTATTTTTTGAGACAGAGTTTTACTCTGTTGCCCAGGCTGGAATGCAATAGCAAGATCTCAGCTCACTGCAACCTCCGCCTCCTGGGTTCAAGAGATTCTTGTGCCTCAGCCTCCTGAGTAGCTGCGATTACAGGTGCACACCACCATGCCCTGCTAATTTTTGTATATTTAGTAGAGACAGGGCTTCACTGTGTTGGCCAGGCTGGTCTTGAACTCCTGATCCCAAGTGAGGCCTCAGTCTCCCAAAGTGCTGGGATTACAGGTATAATCGTGCTGCTATAAACAGCAGGATTCAAAAAAAATTTGCATCAAATTTACATGTCTTTGGGTGAACACTTGGAAGAATTTCTATTGGCTCTCTACCTAAGGATGGAGCTTCCGGTCCATGGGATATGCACATGTTTAACTTTAGCTGACACTGCAAAATCGTTTTTCAAAGTATTTGTATCAATTTGCATTTTTTTTAGTAGTATATAAGCGTTCATTTGCTCTACATCCTAATCAATGCTTGGTGTTTACTCCTTTTTCAATTTAACCCTCTATGGTTTTAATTTTCGTGTCTCTCATGGCTAATGAGAGACATCTTTAGAAATGCTTATTGGCTAGTTGGATAATCATATTTATGAAATGTCTTTTTAATTTTTTGCTTTTTTTTTCTACTGAACTGTTCACCTTTTTTATTGCTTTGTAGTAGTCGTTTAGGTGTTCTGGGTACAAATCATTTGTTAGATATATATCTTAGTCTATGGTTTGCCCTTTAACTCTTTTAATGGTGACTGTTGATGACAAATAGTTCATAATTTTAAAACATTTCACTTTATCACTTTTTCAACGGTTAGTTCATTTCATATTCTATTTAGGAATTCTTGCCTACTCCAAGATCATAAAAATATATTACTATTTTCCCTTAAAAGCATTATTGTTTTATCTTTCGAATTTAGATCTTTAACAAGTACAGTACTGATTTTTATATAAGGTAACAGGTAAGAGTCCAGAAACATTTTTTTTTTTCTTTTTTTGAGACAGAGTCTTGCTCTGTCACCCAGGCTGAAGTGCAGTTGGGTGATCTCTGCTCACTGCAACCTCTGCCTTCCAGGTTCAAGCAATTCTCTTGCCTCAGCCTCCTGAGTAGCTGGGATTACAGGTGTGTGCCACCATGTCTGGCTAATTTTTTGTATTTTTAGTAGAGATGGGGTTTCACCATGTTGGTCAGGCTGGTCTTGAACTCTGACCTCTTGATTTGCCCACCTCCACCTCCCAGAGTGCTGGGATTACAGGTGTAAGCCACCACACCCAGCCCAGAAACATTTATTTTTTCTTGAATATTTAATAGATCCATCACCACTTATTGAATTGACCATCTTTTTCTCTCTGCATTTTAGTGACACCTTTACTGTAAATCATGTCTTTATAGGTATGGATCTGCTTCTGGAATCTATTTGTTCAATTATTAGCTTGTTCTTTTGCCAGTACCATATTGCCTTAATTACTATTGCTTTATGATAGGTCTTAATGTGTGGTTGTAGAAGTCCTCTAAATCATTCTTGCTTTTCTACAAGATTGCCTAACTTACTCTTTGCCCTTTAGGTCTCTGAATACATTTTAATTTTCATGTCTGTCATAACAGCCTGACAGTTTTTTCACAAAACCCGCTAGAAATTTTATTGTGATTGCATAAAATTTGCAGGTTAAATTTGGGAAAATTACCATCTTTATAAGGGTGAATACTTCAATCCCTAAACATGATATATCCTTCTATGTACTGAGATTTTAGTACATTTTTGATATAGGGCCTCTGCTACATTTTTTTCTATTTGATTCTCTTCAAGTTTTATTCTTAGATTTTAATTTTCTGTTTCTCTGTTTTTGATATGTAGATTTAAAATTGATTTTTGAATACTGATATTGTAACCAGAAATCTTAAATTTACTTATTAATTGTCCTAGTTTGTAGACGCTTGTTGTTTTCTGGTATGTTATTTGCAAATAATAACAATTGGAAGTTTTTTCCAATGTGCATTCCATTTCCTTCCATATCTTTTAATTCATAGGTTACAAGATTCTCTTTTCTTTCTAAATTGTCAATATAGTTTGAGACAGTTTATCTCAAAGTCAATATGCAGCTATAGTAGGTTTTAGAAAATAAAACTTTCTGGAGACTGATTTGAACTAATCCTAATAAATAACATTGCAATAAATTACTAATTATAGAAGTGGAATTTCCTGGTTTTGGAAGAAGTTGGTTACATGTAATTTACAGATTTTTTTTTTTTTTTTGAGACAGAGTTTCGCTCTTGTTGCCCAGGCTGGAGTGCAATGGCTCGATCTCAGCTCACTGCAGCCTTCCCTGGGTTCAAGTGATTCTTCTGCCTCAACCTCCCAAGTAGCTGGGATTATAGGCATGCGCCACCATGCCAGGCTCTTTTTGTATTTATAGTAGAGATGAGATTTCTCCATGTTGGTCTGTCTGGTCTTGAACTCCCGACCTCAGGTGATCCTTCCGCTTGGCCTCCCAAAGTGCTGAGATTACAGGCATGAGCCACCGCGCTGGCCTCATTTACAGATTTTAAGCATCTATCAGAGACTGTATTGAAGAAATCCCTGCATCAAATGGAAGTTGTACTAGACAATTTCCAAGTTAATTTTTAATTTTTAAATTATATTAATTAATAATTTCTGATTAAAAATGACATAAAATCTATTTGGCAGATAACTGGAGAATGCTCAAGTTTGGTGTGACAGAAAGAATAGAGAGCGGGAGACTTGTTGTGAGTCAACTGCTATATCCCAGGCATGAGTTCATGAGAGCCTGTGTTACCGTAACTCATGCCTGGACTATAGTCGTGTCTCATACGTCTCCCTGTCTCCATTCTAAATCCACAAGGAAGAGATGTGGGGACTGAAATGTTGGCTAGTAATTGCCACTGGGGTTTGACCTTCGGTATCTGGGATATTGGTAATGGTTGAAAACTGAAGTAGCAATGTTAGGGCAGACTGCTTACCTAAATGTTTATTGCTTTTTATAGAGGTCTGTGAACTTTGAAACAATTTATGACAATGAAACTGATCTTTTGAATTACGCTGACCCCAGTTTCAGAGGGAGCAGAGGTACTTAATGTGTGACTTAGCAAAATCAGTTATCTGTGGGCCATCCAGACCTGCAAATTCTTTCTTCACTGATCCCTTCCAGCCTTTTTTGTTATCGGAAGAGAATGAGACAGGAATGTTAATTAGATCTATGGAGAATTAAAAAGTACATTTAAAAAGATTGTATGGTTATAATGTTATTGTTTTGTTTATTTTATTTTATTTTTATTTTTTTGAGACGGAGTCTCACACTATCGCTCGGGCTGGAGTGCAATGGCGTGATCACAGCTCACTGCAACTTCCGCCTCCGGGGTTCACACGATTCTCCTGCCTCAGCCTCCGCAGTAGCTAGGATTACAGGAGTACACTACCACAACTGGCTAATTTTTTGTAGTTTTAGTAGAAACGGGGTTTCAGTATGTTAGTCAGACTGGTCTGGAACTCCTGACCTAGTGATCCGCCTGCCTCGCCCTCCCAAAGTGCTGGGATTACAGCTGTGAGCCACAAACCTGGCCTGTTTTGTTTATAATAGGTATGAAGCACGGACTTAAGTTATATTCACGTGGTTTTTCAGGAAAATGACATCAGATGTTAGCATCTAAAATACTTGTCAGTACTATGCCTTTTTCAAATGAGTAGTGTTGTGATATATTCTTGTTTTTGGTGTCAAAATCTACACTGAACCCAATTCTTTAACAGGAAAGATTCAGACATTATAGCTGTGTACAGAATAAAATGAGAAAGTATTAATGTTTCCTGTCTATCTCGAAATCCCCTCCCCCAAAATCATCCAGAATCAAATAAATAGCTTAGTGTATATCCTTCTCCTAATCTTTCTAAACTTTTACACCTATATGTTTATTTTATCTTAACAAAAATTTTATCATAGTATATATTTTTTCCAACTTGCTTTTTATATTTAAGGCGTTGAAATTTACATTATTATATTTTTAAAATAGGTTGCTTCTGTTGAAATTATCATATGATTTTCTTTTGTCAGTGTTGTGAATTACATTAAAATATTTCTTAATTTAGAACCATTCTAACTTTTGCTTGATAAGACCTATTCATATATTATGTAGTAATTCTTTTAATATGTGAATGAATTCAAATTGATCATATTTTATTGAAATTTTACACATCTATGTTTTTCTAAGTGAAATGGGCCTATATATTCTTGTTTGTTTGTTTCTCTGGACTGTCCTTATTCAGTTTGCTACCAGAATTAATCTAGTTTCATAAAATAAATTAGTAAACTTTCCACCTTTTTCTATATTCTGAAAATATAACGTATATAATATAAGGACATTGTATTCTTCAATTCATTTGGGCAAGATTTTTTTTTTTTTTTAGAAAGATTCTTAACTATCACAGTTTTTCATGATTACTGGTCATTTCAGGTTTTCTATATCTTCTTATACAATTTTGATTATTTAAACTTTTACTATGTAAAGATTCATTTAATTTAGAGTTTCACATTCATTGGCTAATATTTGTCACAAATAAGTTTTCTCATGATTCTTATTCTTTATATCTGTTGTCATTTTTCATTTTTGTTTTAAATCTTGTTTTTTTCCCTTTTTTATCAAAATAAGACTTGATAAGGTATTTCTATTTCCTTAATCTTTCCAAAGAAACTCTTAGATTGATAACAAAACATATCCTCACACTATAGTAATATCAGTGTGGAATTACAACAGGAATGACATATAAGCCATTAGTATATAATAGGAAGTCCTAAAATACATATTCACATGTTCATATGTGTGCACTTAAATTTGGTTTGTAATAAAATGACACTGCAAATCAGTGGTGGAAACAGGCTTGATTTGATTAATGGTGGTGTCTGCCCCCCGTCCTTGCTGACAGCCCTGTGTCCCTGGAATCTGGACGAATTCCTTAACAGAGCAGGCACTCAATGGATGTTTTGAATGATGAATGTAGTTACTTGCTTCTTCATAGTTACTGCTTTTGTTTTCATTCTATTACATACTTTTTGAGGGTTTGTTTTCTACTTTTCTACTGTCTTCGGTTGTAAACTGAGTTGTTCATGGTCCGTGACATTTTCTTTGTTTTTCTCTCCCTCACCTGTCTTCTTTTTCCTTCTGGAGTCTTCTAGTTGAGTGCTGCTATCTGAGTCTATCTGTCACTTCACCTACTCTTTCTTTTATATTTTCCATTGCTTTATCTTTTTGTATTATTTTCTGGGATAATCTGAAACTTGATTTTTAAAGTTTTCTTTCATAACATTTCTCTTTCATTGTTTTCTTTTGTAATTCAGTTGAAATATTAAGGAGTTTTAAATCTTGTTCAAAATCTTAAAATTACACATTCCTCATTTTTTTTTTAAATGCAAGTGATGTGGTTTGACTCTGTGTCCCCACCCAAATCTCACCTTGAATTGTAATACTTCCAGTGTGTCAAGGGTGGGCCAGGCGGAGATAATTGAATCATGGGGTCAGTTTCCCCCATACTGTTCTTGTGTTAGTGAATAAGTCTCATGAGATCTGATGGTTTTGTAAAGGGGAATTCCCCTGCATAAGCTCTCTTGCCTGCTGCCATTTAAGATGTCCCTTTGCACTTCCTTCGTCTTCCACCATAATTGTGAGGCCTCCCCTGCCATGTGGAACTGTGAGTCCATTAAATGTCTTTCCTTTATAAATTACACAGTCTTGGGTATGTTTTTATTAGCAGCATGAGAACTGACGAATACAGAAAATTGGTACCAGGTAGTGGGGTGTTGCTGTAAAGATACCTGAAAATGTGGAAGTAACTTTGGAACTGGGTAACAGGCTGAGATAGAAACAGTTTGAAAGGCTCAGAAGAGGACAGGAAGATGTGGGAAAGTTGGAACTTCCTAGAGACTTGTTGAATGGCTTTGACCAAATGCTGCTTGTCTCAGATGGAGATGAGGAACTTATTGGGAATTGGAATAAAGGTGACTCTTGCTTTGTTATAGTAGAGACTCGTGGCATTTTGCCCCTACCATAGAGATCTGTGAAACTTTGAACTTGTGGGAGATGATTTAGGTTACTGGCAGAAGAAATTTCTAAGCAGCAAAATGTTCAAGAGGTGAATTGGGTGCTGTTAAAGGAATTCAGCTTATGTATTCACAAAGATATGGTTTGGAATTGGAGCTTATGTTTAAAAGAGAAGCAGAGCATAAAAGTTCAGAAGCTTTGCAGCCAGATGATGTAATAGACAAGAAAAACCAATTTTCTGATGAGAAGTTCAAGCCAGCTGCAGAAATTTGCATAAATAATAAGGAGCCAAATGTTAATTACAAGACCATGGGGAAAATGTCTCCACAGCATGTCAGAGGTCTTCACAGAGTCCTTTCCATTACAGGCCAGAAGGCCTAGGAGGAAAAGATGGTTTCATTGGCCTGACCCAGGGTCCCTCTGCTCTGTGCAGCCTAGGGACTTGGTATCCTGTGTCACAGCAGCTCCAACGATGGCTAAAAGGGGCCAAGGTACAGCTTGGGCCCTAGCTTCAGAGTGTGTAAGCCCCAAGTCTTGGCTGCTTCTACATGGTGTTGAGCCTGTGGGTGCACAGAAGTCAAGAATCAAGGTTTAGGAACCTCTACCTAGATTTCAAAGGACATATGGAAATGCCTGGATCTCTAGGCAGAAGTTTTCTGCATGGGTAGGGTACTTATGGAGATCCTCTGCTATGGCAGTGCGGAAGAGAAATGTGGGGTCAGAGCCCCCATACAGGGCCCCCACTGGGGCACAGCCTAGTGAAGTGGTGAGAAGAGAGCCACTGTCCCCCCGCCCACAGAATGGTAGATCCACTGACAGCTTGCACTGTGTGTGACAGACACTCAATGCCATCCCATGAAAGCAGCCAGGAGGGTGGCTGTACCTGCAGAGCCACAGGGGCAGAGCTGCCCAAGGCTGTGGGAGCCCATTTCTAGCATCAGCATGACCTGGATGTGAGACATGGAGTCAAAGGAGATTATTTTAGAGCTTTAGGATTTGACTGCCTTGTTGGACTTCAGACTTGCATGGGGTTTGTAACCCCTTCATTTTGAACAATTTCTCCCATTTGGAATGGGTATATTTACCCAATACTTGTACCCTCGTTGTATCTAGGAAGTAACTAAATTGCTTTTGATTTTACAGGCTCATAGGTGGAAGGGCCTTGCCTTATCTTAGATAAGACTTTGGTCTTGTACTTTTGGATTAATGCTGGAATGAGTTAAGATTTTAAGGGACTGTTGGAAGGGCATGATTATGTTTTGAAATGTGAGGACATGAGATTTGAGAGGAGCCAGGTGCAGAAGGGCATGGTTTGGCTCTGTGTTCCCACCTAAATCTCACCTTGAATTGTAATTGAATTTCATTTATAGTTGTAACTGTAATTGAAATTCAATTGTAGGCTGGGCACAGTGTAATTCCAGTGCTTTGGGAGGTTGAGGCGGGCAGATCACCTGAGGTCAGGAGTTCGAGGCCAGCCTGACTAACATAGTGAAACCCTGTCTCTTCTAAAATACAAAAATTAGCTAGGTGTGGTGGTGGGAGATTGTAATCCAAGCTATTTGGGAGGCTGAGGCAGCAGAATCACTTGAACCTGGGAGGCAGAGGTTGCAGTGAGCCGAGATGGTACCATTGCACTCCAGACTGGGCAACTAGAATGAAACTCTGTCTCAAAATAAAAAGAGTATTCAATTGTAATTGAATTTCTAGCCTGCCATATTACATTTTATTTTGCTATTTTATAAAAATATTTGTAATTTTTTTCTTAAAATTATTTCTGTCATTTCATGTAAATTTAGTTATGTGAGGAAGGTGAATGCCTGCGTTTATTCTGACACATTGGTCCCAGTTCCTATTTGTTTTATTTATCATAACAAAATAATTTTATGTAAATTAATCTGAAAATTATAAGATCTTTACAAAATAAATCTTGCTAAATAACAACAAAAGAATATTCATAATCAAACCACTCAGAAAAATCCACATGTGATTTGTTTTTGCCTTGGACATAGTATAGACATTGTGAATTTTTGTGTTACACTCTGTCCTAGTTTTAATTGTCTCTAGTTTTCTTAGCTTCACCTTGCTTACTTTTTGGAAATGCTTTTCTTTTTTGCTGTATTTTTAGCCACTTGCATGACTCTTTCTCATGGGAAAGTCCAGATTGCTTGGACTGGCTTCCAGGCCACTCATGGTTAAAAATCCTATGTGATTTCCAGCTTCATTCTCATACTCAGTGTCTTTGGCACAAGAAATGTGTGGTTTTCTTGAGTTTGTCATGCATTGCTGCTTTCTCTGCCAGGAATACTGTTCTTCTAACTTCCCTTGGTACTTTATGACGGGACTTACCTTTCATTTACCTGGAAACGCTCCCCACCCCCCTCCAAGCCTACTAGGCTGGGTCCAGTGACTGTGTGTTCCCTCAGCTCCTGGGCACACTTGGTAGAGCCCTCATATCATCATACTGTATGTAATTGCTTTCCTCGTTGTATAGATTTGCTACTAGACAGTAAGTTTGCAGAAGGCACAAGCTATATCTTATTTATCTGTGTTATAGTTCCATGTCTGGTAGATAATACATATTGCACAGTTGGATAGGTGCATGAGTAAATAAAGAATAAATTAATGAATGTAATTATAATTCTCCTTGGAATAAAATGGGTTATAAATAAGTAGACAGACGATACTTTCCTTCCCTCATTTTATATACTGCCAACTCTGTGTCATTGTTACAGGATACCTGCAGATGGAAATATAGGTGCTGCTGGTCGCCTGTGGCGGATGCCAATGTCCCTAGGTGCTTCTTCCCCAGGAACTGGGGCTATGAAGCCAGGAATGGCCATACAAGTACAAGCACAAGTGAGCACTACCCTGATGTAGCTCCCCGGGAACAGCTTCTAGTGTATATTAGAACTGTCTTTCTGACTGTCTTTGTTAACTGCAAAATAAAATAAAAGCTAAAAGTTGGCTAGGTGTGATGGCTCACACCTGTAATCCCAGCATTTTGGGAGGCTGAGGTGGGCAAATTACGAGGTCAGGAGTTTGCGACCAGCCTGGCAAACATGGTGAAACCCTGTCTCTACCAAAAATACAAAAATGAGCTGGGTGTGATGGTGGGTGCCTGTAATCCCAACCACTTGGGAAGCTGAAGTAGGAGAATCATTTGAACCCGGGAGGCGGAGGTTGCAGTGAGCCTTGCACTCCTGGGTGACAGGGCGAGACTCCATCTCAAAAAAAAATGCTAAAAGTCAGTCTCTTTCTCTCTCTCCCCATATTCTGTCACCCCTAGGATTTACTGCCCAGTTGAAAAGGTTGCCATCCCCATCTCTGTTTGGATATGATGTTGCCACCACCCTTTTCACAGCTGAATATCAGACATCCAATCGGTTTCATTTTAAGGTTAGTTTGGGAGTGACTGCTAAATATATTTCTGAAGAAAGCAGTGTGCCCACATTGGGCTTGAAGTGCGGAGGCAGAAAGTACCTCTCTCCCACTCTGCAGGAATCTCTGGATGGGATGGGCAGGCTAATTTTTATTTGATGGGGCACACATAATTGGGTGATTTCGAAAATCAGGAACTACAGTGTCAAGAACTGGAAGCTATTCTCAGGGGGCATTATTTGAGATGGAAGATCTTGTATAGCTCTATCTACAAGGAACTGGTCTTATCTGCAGTTGTCCCTTCTGTTTTTCTTTTGACAGATCACTGACTTTAATAACATACGCTATGAAGTTTCCCATGAAAATGTTAAGACAGCTAATAGCACTGTTAATGCCACCAATTTGAGCTATTACATGGAGGTTACTGATAAACCTTTCAGCATCAAAATAGTGAGGACAAGCAACGGAAGAGTCTTGTGAGCTTTTTGACCCTCTTTATGCATCTTTGAACACGCAGTTCCAATATTACTCGTTCTGATTTACCGTGGGTGGGCAGTGAAATAAGTACAACTAGAGGAAATGTTTGAATATCAGAAAAATGTCAAAGCTTTTGCTGTAAAATAACAGTGTTAGTCTATCATGCTCCTAAAACAAAGAATACTAAAATGTAATACTAAAATGTTTGCTAAGTTATATAAGTATATATAATATACTTATATATAATATTATATTAATATAGATCATATATTAAATGTCTTAATATACAAATATGTCATATTAACTATATTTACATATATTTATAGATTATATATCTATATAATCATATGCATTTATATTAAATATACATTTTAATATATATTTATATGCATTAATATATTATATAAAATATATTTTACATAAATGTTTTTATTTATATAACATATTTATTTAAAATTTAATATATATTTATATATTACATGTATAATATATGTAATATATTTATCTATTTGTATAATATATAGTTATATATACACATAAATATACTTGTGGTTTACATATGTTGTAAAATAGAGGGTTTTATTGTTTTAAATTATTATTCATACTGGAACTCAAACTTCATTGTCTATCATTTTAAATTATTTACTGTGAATCTTACTATCAAACAATGATCAACAGTTTGAACTTAATTCAGAAATTGTGCTGGGGAAAATAGAAGTATTAGTGTCAGTAAAACCAGTATTCACATCCTGGCACCAGCAGATAACAGTCAGCTCAGCTGTGTTATGTATCAGGCAAAATATCTCTCCTCAACAGTATCAGTTTCCTTTTCCAAAAAAGGGGAATCAAAATATCCACTTTTGCTAGAGGCAATGCGATGTTGTTTATAAAGCACCCAGAGTGGTGCCTGGAATGCAGTAGATGCACATTAAATGTGAAGTCAACTCTGCTCTCTTTCCCCAATCATCCAGTCTGAGCTCCTGGCATTCTGCCACTAATGCTATCTTCCTCTAGAATCAAAGAACCAGAGGTGCCCTAGAAAGGCCTTCTAAGGTAGCATGAAAATTGTTGATAATGCCTGAAACAACAGATGTCTAAGTTATGTGGAAAGGAGAAGATAGCTTTCTGGCAGAGGAAAGAGTGTTTTCAGTGATTCTTGCTCTGCTTACCCCATGGCCCAGGTTGGACACGAGCATTGGGCCCCTCCAGTTTGCCCAGCAGTACCTGCAGCTGTCTTTCCGACTGCCCAGTGCCAATGTGTATGGGCTGGGAGAACATGTGCACCAGCAATACCTCCACAACATGACCTGGAAGACCTGGCCCATCTTCACCCGGGATGCCACCCCCACTGAGGTGAGGTGCCTTTCCTCCTGAGTATTGCCCACAGTAAGGGCTACTGTCCTTCCTTTCCTAAAAGTAGCCTGCAGGAATACATCTGTATCTTACTTTGCTCATTTTAGATATGTTGATGTTGAGGAATATTTGTTGTTGAGGCCCATAAAGTCAGGAATATAGCAATATTAGAAATAAAAAAATTTAAATTAGAAATTTTCTAGCAATTAGAAATATAGCATTTAAACAAATCTGACTTAAATGGGATATATAATTTCATGATTATATTAGAATCTAGTGTATATTGGAAAATACTTCTGCCAAATTACTAGGTCTTGGTTTAATAACTGAAGGGAGGAGAGCTTGAGCAGGAGCCATGCTCAGCAGAACTTGATGGACTAAACATGTCTCTTTGACAGCTTTCATGCTGTTCTAGGTGTTTGCTTGTGAAAGTATGTTTCAGAGATGTCAGCATTGGCGTCACCTGCGAGGCTGTTACAAATGCAGAATCCCAGGCCATAGCCCAGGCCTACTGGATCCAAATCTGCATTTTAACAAGATCCCCAGGTGACTCACATTCATATTGAAGTGTGAGAAGGACTGCTTTAGATGAGTGCGTCTCAGCTTATCTGGAGTGAAGGACAAGTTTCTTTCTCTTAAAAAAAAAAAAAATCCATCATGGGCAATAATTTTGTAAAATACAATTAAAATATATTACTGGGAAAATGAAATAAAATAAAACCCAAAGACATACCAAAAAGGCCTGCATTTTCAGTTGAACAGACTAAAATCACCCTTTTCAATTCCTATAAAAGAATTTCTAAACTGACTTTTGGTTTTCATACTTGTCTTGTGGCTGACTGATGACAAGGGGTTTGGGGCGGTATCATGGACAATGCTTTAAGTCACATAGGTTTGTAGAGGATGCCTTGAAGCCTCCACTGTGTTGATCATATTTCTTGGATTTGTGCAAGAGCTGCGGGTTGAAGTATGGTACAAGGGAGAGAGCGAGCTGACATTTTACAGTTCATATTCGGCAGGAGATGAACAAAGCAAGTAGCACATTAACCTGTAGCTCAGCCAGCAGCATCTGATGTAATGGAGGGAGTGAACTTGCTGAGCAGAGCAAAGACAGAAAAGCAATGACCAACACATTCAATAAATTTTTGGTTAAGGGCCCTGGCAAATATTGAATACTAAGAATCGTACTACATTTGACTTTCTATAGCTGACATTCCTAAATTGTATAGTCACAAATTAGATGTAATGCCTTCCATCCTTCCTGTTTTTCTTTTCTTTTTTCTTTCCTTTCTCTCCTGCTGTTTTCTTTCTTAAAATTTTTTTTTAAAAAACATTGTCTGTATTCTACCCAAGTGTGATGCCATTAGTTTTCCTGGCTGTAATTTTACATCTAGCCAAGGCTTACTGGTCTTCTCAATTTTGCAAATAATGTTGATTCTCTTTTTCCCTCTCCTGGTAATTACCTTTATCAGAGTTATTGCCTTATGCTGCAGCTAAGGTTGACACTGTCACACCGGGAACTTGTAAAATGTTCTCCGTATTCTAATCTCAACATCTTTTGTTCTTATAGCACTTAGAGATATACACACACACATTATCTCTTTTTATGTCAGTGTTCATCACAGATTTGTCACAGATTCAATATTTTTTGTCTCTTTTTTATTAGTTTCAAGGCTTTTTTCACTACTTATATGCTAACTATAGAAACATTAGAAAATAAAACTAGGCATAAAAAATTCAAAATTACATATTACCATAACTTTCTGCTAATATTTTGGTATATATCATAGCAAATATGTTTCAATGTTTACAAGATAACTTGATTGAATTATAATTGATAGGCCATAAAATTCACCTGTTTTAAGTGTGCAGTTCAATGACTTTGAGCACATTTACTGAGTTGTGCCAGCATCATCATAATCCAGTTCCATAACTTTGGCATCACCCCAATAAAATCCCTTCTGGGCTTTGAGACTTAAATTCCAGAGCTTACTTCAGCCCTAGCCAATTACTAATCTACTTTCTGTCCCTATAGATTTGACTTTTCTAGATATTTCATATAAATGAAATCATACAATATATGGTTGTTTGTGTCTGTTTCTTTCCTTTAGCATAACACTTTTAAAGGTTTATTCATGTTGTAGTGTGTATAATTATTTTATTTATTATCATTGAATGGAATTCTATTGTATAGATACATCATATTTTGTTTATCATTTTCCACTTGATAATATCATTTCAATGCCTTTTTGATACAATGTTAAACTACATGAAGTATTGACTAAGTATATGTTATAGATGGCTTTTGAATTTATTTTAGGGTGAATGGAAACTTTCTTAACACATAACACTATTACTTTTCTTCTGTTTTACTGACAGGGCATGATTAATCTGTACGGAGCTCATACATTCTTCTTATGCCTTGAAGACACCAGTGGCTCCTCTTTTGGAGTGTTTCTGATGAACAGTAATGCCATGGGTAGGAAGCATCATTTTGTCTTCTGTAGGTAGGGATATGTTTTAGGATTCTGCTTTTATAAAAAATTACTTTTATGGTGAGATCACTGTTGAACAGAAGGCATATTGAGCCTATAGTACTTTTGTTGAAACTGGAACCTGAAAGTAGGTTAACTTGTCTGCAAATCCAGGTTATTATTTTCACTGAAAACCATTTTGGGGGTCCTCTTTGACATAATGTTTTCCCTCATAGTCTGTAGAAAAATAGGATCCACTGATAGACACATTCCAAAATTTCCTGTAGATTTCAACATGTAAAGTGTGCTTTCTGTCTGTAGGCAACAAGACTGTGTTGTGTAGGCACTTCTCACAGCCCATAGCCCACCAGAGGCTATGAGAAGGCTCTTTCCCCTCCAGAATCTTCATCCTCCAGCTTCTGGATTAGTAGCACTCCAAAAAGCATTTTTATTTATTTTTAAATATTTAATTATAGTCAAACTCACTAATAAAGTTTTTAAAACTTTTTTTTTTTTTTTTAAGACGGAGTTTCGCTCTTGTTACCCAGGCTGGAGCGCAATGGCGCGATCTCGGCTCACCGCAGCCTCCGCCTCCTGGGTTCAGGCAATTCTCCTGCTTCAGCCTCCTGAGCAGCTGGGATTACAGGCATGCGCCACCATGCCCAGCTAATTTTTTGTATTTTTAGTAGAGACGGGGTTTCACCATGTTGACCAGCATGGTCTTGATCTCCTGACCTCGTGATCCACCCGCCTCGGCCTCTCAAAGTGCTGGGATTACAGGTGTGAGCCACCGCACCCGGCGTAAGTTTGTATTTTTATGTGGCCAGGTTAAAATGAAATTTGTTTTTCTTCCATTTTTTTTTTTTTTTGAGACGGAGTCTTGCTCTGTTGCCCAGGCTAGAGTGCAGTGGCGCAATCTCATCTCCCTGCAACCTCCACCATGCGGGTTCAAGCAATTCTCCTGCCTCAGCCTCCTGAGTAGCGGGGATTACAGACATGTGCCACCACACCAGCCAAATTTTTGCTTTTTTAGTAGAAATGGGGTTTCACCATGTTGGTCAGGGTGGTCTCAAACTCCTGAAATTGTGATCTGCCCACCTTGGCCTCCCAATGTGCTGGGATTCCAGGCCTGAACCACTATACCTGGCCTCTTCTTTCTCTTAAAAAACAAACAAACAAAAAAATTCCCTCAATTCTTCATTGGTTTCTTACACATTCAGTATTTGTATAAACTCCAACAACAATCCTCTGATAAAAAGAACAGTGTGATTTTCATCCCCTTCAAAATGAGACTGAGATTCTTTTAGATGGCTCAGCTATTCATACTCTAGAGAAGACTCTATTTCCAACCATAAGATTCTAATAAATCTCATTTTAATCTTTTCAGAGGTTACCCTTCAGCCAGCTCCTGCGATCACTTACCGCACAATTGGGGGCGTTCTTGACTTTTACGTATTCCTAGGAAACACTCCAGAACAAGTGGTTCAGGAATACTTGGAGGTTTGTCTTTGCATTTAGATAGTCATTATTTACTGCTATTATCTCATATACTCATTATAAATTAATAAGAGAAAAATAAAAGTTATTAGTAAACTGTATGGATTATAAATGCTGGGATAGTGAGTCTTTCATCCATTGTTTATTTATTTTGATGACCTTTATTGGATGCTTTCTGCATGCCAATGAGACTCTGTGTAAGGCCTGAGAAATGCAAAAAGAAATCAGACACCATCCTACTTTCAAGTAACTCGTAGTCCATTCATGTATCCCACAAATCAGCAAAGCTTATTCATTCAATAAATTAAAATTCAGTGAAAAGGAACTACCTGAATAAACTTTGCTATTTATATTTGACTCAAATTACAGAAAAGGAAGAAACTTGAGGTTGGGATCGGTGGCTCACACCTGTAATCCCAGCACTTTGGGAGGCTGAGGTGGGCAGATCACAAGGTCAGGAGTTCAAGACCAGCCTGGCTAACGTGGTGAAACCCCGCCTCTACTAAAAATACAAAAATTAGCCAGGCATGGTGGCATGTACCTGTAGTCCCAGCTACTCGGAAGACTGACGCAGGAGAATCACTTGAGCCCAGGAGGCGGAGGTTGAGGTGAACCAAGATCACACCACTGCCCTCCAGCATGGGCAACAGCGAGACTCAAACTCACAAAACAAAACAAAACAAAACAAAACAAAAAACAAAAAATTAGCTGGGTGTGGTGTTGTGTGCCTGTAATCCTAATCCTAATCCCATAAATTCTTATTCCTTTTCTCTTTGCACATACCACTATCCGAAATTATATTAGACATTTATTTATTTCCTCTGAGTTCTCCGAGGGCAGGAGCTGTGTTTGCTCTGTGCCACTGTATTCCAAATGCCCTTCTTAGTCCTTGCCACACTGTGAACAAATACTCAGAAAAACACTTACAGAATAATGAATGTTACCAGCTTTCCTGTAAGATGACACCATTATTGAAACATTTTCTGCAAATCTTATTAGTGTCTGATGTTGGGAATACATTTATGTACTTAGTAAAGAAGGATGTGATTGTGGAATTTCACAAATTATTCTAGAAGATTACTCTTAACTCTGGCGTTTTCAGCTCTGGAAACCATAGAAAATGAAAGGGAGCTAATGTTTCCAGTGTTGGGCCTGGACACTTACTTACTTATCTTTTCAGCTTGTTGGACGGCCATTCTTGCCTTCCTATTGGAGTCTTGGGTTCCAGCTTAGTCGCAGGGATTATGGTGGCATCAACAAATTGAAAGAAGTTGTAAGCCGAAATCGTTTAGCTGAGATACCGTATGTAAGTTGGAACTTCTTTTACCATGCATTTGACACCATTTCCCAGTTTTATTTTTTTCATTGAATTCAATTTATTAGGAGAAATGTAGGTTAATCAATAGATTGATAGACAGGCACACTTGCTGTCCAAAATTTGCATGTTAAGTTATGTATCTGATTATGAAAAGTATACGGTTAATAAAGTCAGATAGATATGGCTTTGAATTTTAGCTTTACCTCTTCATAGCAATGTTGGCTAATTAATTAAAATCTCCAAGTCTTAGTTTCCACTTTTATAGAATAAGAATGTAAGACTAACTCTGGTGCTCTTGTAGTAAGAAATGCCTTATATCGTGCATGAAAAGCATCTAGCACAGAAGGTGAACATCATCTAATAGCTGTTATGTTATTAGAGAAAGCAACACTGGAGTTGACATGAGTAGCAAGAGCTGATGATTATAATGACTTACAGTAAATGACTTTCTCATGGTGACCTCGTATACTCCTCCCAGATCTAACAACTCTAATTTTAAACCTTCATGGTTATATCAGTATTTATGATGTTCAATGTCTACCAGTAAGTCAAGATAATTATTAAGTGTGTAATACTTGATCATTTTCTCCAGGAGATGCATAACATGTGGCTAACGAATTTATCAAAACAACTTATTTGGGGTAGCTCTTTGGGATTTTGAAACTTTAATGCAAGAATATAGTGTTGGCTGGGCATGGTGGCTCATACCTGTAATCCCAGCATTTTGGGAGGCTGAAGTGGGTGAATCACTTGAGATCAGGAGTTTGACACCAGCCTGACCAACATGATGAAACCCAGTCTCCATTAAAAATGCAAAAAAATTGCCAGGTGTGGTGGCACATGCCTGTAATCCCAGCTACACATTAGGCTGAGGCATGAGAATCACTTGAACCGGAGTCAGAGGTTGTGAGCTGAGATTGTACCACTGCACTCCAGCACTCCAGCCTGGGTTACAGAGTCTCAAAAATGTGTGTGTGTGTGTGTGTGTGTATGTATAATAACATCCGAAGGAAGATTGTACAGGTGGAAATAAAATGACTTGGACCTTCTTTCAGGGTTCTTCAATCCCCTCTCTGAATAGTGATGAGGGCAGGCAGGGGTATCAATTTTTCCTGTAAGAAAACAGATGGTCAGTGTGTTTTGGTGTTAAAGGGGCATTGACTGTGTTTAATTTTACTTCTCCTATATCTGCTATCTGCAAACACCCAATTCCAGGAAGAATTGTCTTCCATAAATAAAACCTTTCCCTATCTGTGTTTGTGGAGGACACCTGGGTCCTACATGACTGTCCAGTATTAGAACAGTGGATGCTACATTGGGCAACAGGCCCCAAGCCACATTTTCCTTCAGGCCTGTAAGGTGGAGACTCCTACTGTATGATATGTGAGGAATACTTAGAAGAACACTTCTTTTGTCTTTGAGGAAGGTGGCAGATTGGGGAAAAGAGCATCTGAAGCCAAAGGGCCTGTCCCCAAAGCCCTCATCAGCCCCTTGCACCTCTCAGTGCACATACTCCCTCACATTTCAATTTGCTCACTAAGAATAACACCTGCTCCTCATAGGCTGGTATGCAAACACAAGGAAAAATGTGTGCATGAGAATTTAGCTGAGTAAGGTTTTATCTTTTTGTCATTGATCATTGTTAATCATTACTCTAACACTTTCATAGGGTAAAAGATCATTTTCTCCTTGTATGATATATTCTGGTTTGATGCTTGGGTTAAGTTGGTACACAGTTGTAACATTAATAATATAATTCATTCAAACAGTCATTTAAAGAACACTTGTTTTATGTCAAGCATCCAAGCTCTCAAGTTACAGAAATGAACAAGATGCAATTCCTGCCCTCAAATCCTCCCAATACTTTATGACATGCACCTGTCAGGACAAGGAGGTAAAATTGCAACCAAAAAACAATCAAGTCTTTCAAAGATGGCTTATTTACTCCTAAGACATAGCCAACCCCTGGTAGTTCCCAGATCATTAGGAAATATGACTTCATTTTTAATGGTCAGGATCCAGAGCTGTAATACTTTCCATCAGTAGAGTGCTTTTTCCTAGGCTCTAATTGGCCAGAGCTCTCTTTCAGGATGTCCAGTACTCTGACATAGACTACATGGATGGAAAGAAGGATTTCACTGTTGATGAAGATGCTTACCCTGGTCTCTCAGATTTTGTCAAGGAGTTACATGACAATGGTCAGAAATATCTAATTATTATGGTATGTTCAAACACTTGTTACCTTATTTTTTCTTTCACAGTGCAAAAAAATATAAAAATAATATTTATATCATATTTCTTTATTAGAATCCTGGCATCGCCAAAGACTCTAGCTACGAGCCTTATGATAATGGAAGCATGAAAAGAGTGTGGATCCTGGGGAGCAATGGCACTGCTGTTGGGGAGGTAATCTCTTAAGAAAATCAAAGTAAATTATGATTGTTTTGTGAAGTTTGTACTTTTGGTATGAAGATGGGTGAAAGAAAGGTTACAATATTGTTACTGTTTTTTCATGGCTTTAGAGGTTTCTTTTATTACTATTTTAAGCCAGTAGATATAATAATAGAATGATTAAAATTCTGAAGGATTTAAAAAGCTATCCCTTGATCCTCTGATACCATAGATAATTGAGAAGCAATATGTAATTAGAAGAAAAATTAGTTACCTAAAGCCCTCCCACCTCCAAATTTCTCTTTCCTAAGACAATAAATTTAACCACAAAAATATAACAAGATACTCATAGATTAATGTGGAACTGATCTCAGTGAATGTATTTTATTTTTTTATTTTAATTTTTTGACATGGAGTTTCACTCTTGTCATCCAGGCTGGAGTGCAATGATGTGATTTTGGCTCACTGCAATCTCTGACTCCCAGGTTCAAGCGATTTTCCTGCCTCAGCCTCCTGAGTAGCTGGGATTATAGGCACATGCCACCACACCCCACTAATTTTTGTATTTTTAGTGGAGACCGGGTTTCACCATGTTGGCCAGGTTCATCTTGAACTCCTGACCTGGGGTGAGCTGCCTGCCTTGGCTTCCCAAAGAGCTGGGATTACAGGCGTAAGCCACTGTGCCCCACCTATATTTTAAATTTACACAAGACCTATAGATAGAGCACAGTTTTGATTCTAACGTAGCAGTCTCAGGCATTGAAATAGGCTGAGCAGTAGCCTATATTCAGGATAACTAAACTTCTGAGAGTACTTTAAATAGGCAATTTCAATTATATGTAGGGTCAGCACTAGATGACTGGATTCTGTAAGATTTACTCGAATCGGTGCTTCATCTAATAAGTTCATGAGGCAGGGCACGGTGACTCACTCCTGTAATCCTAGCACTCTGGGAGGTCGAGGCAGGAGAATCACCTGAGGTCGGGAGTTCAAGACAGCCTGGCCAACATGGAGAAACCCCATCTCTACTAAAAATACAAAATTAGCCTGGCATGGTGGCGCATGCCTGTAGTCACAGTTACTAGGGAGGCTGAGGCAGTAGAATCACTTGAACTCAGGAGGTGGAGGTTGCAGTGAGCCGAAATTGTGCCATTGCATTGCACTCCAGCCTGGGCAATAGGAGTGAAACTCCGTCTCAAAAAAAAAGGAAAGAATTCACGTGACTGCAGATCTTGTTGCTCCTAAGTAGTTTATTTTGCAAAACTGTCTTTTCTTCTTTTTTTAGAGTTTCACAGAAAATTTTATTTATTTATTTCTTCTGTTAGCAAGAGTAAATTTATAAATTAACTAAGAATCCACTTATAGTTTTTATATTGATAGCTATAATCATATTATTTATAATTATCAAATCAAACATCACTTAATTATCATTCACCGTAACATTTTGATATTTTATTTTTCCTTTTTATTTTATTTATTTTTAAAATTATTATTAGTATATTTAAATTCTGGGGTACATGTGCAGAACATGCAGGTTTGTTACATAGGTATACATGTGCCATGGTGGTTTGCTGCATCCATCCCCCCACCCCCCATCATCTACATTAGGTATTTCTTCTAATCCTCTTCCTTCTCTATCCCCCCACCTCCTGCTATCCCTTCCCTAGCCCCCCAACCCCCGACAGACCCTGGTGTGTGATGTCCCCCTCCCTGTGTCCATGTGTTCTCACTGTTCAACACCCACTGATAAGTGAGAACATTTGATGGCACAACTGTCTTTTCAGGGTTATGGATGATCTTTTACCAAACTCTGCTCACTTAATTCCTTTCATTGACTTTTTCGATGCTTAATTCTATTTACTTTTTTTCGTTGATTCTAACTTTTCATGAAGCAGTAGGAAAGTTTTCTTCCTTCTGCACAAGTCTTTGCTTTTACTGTTTCGTTAGAAGCTAATTTCTAAAATATTAGATAAGCCTATATGTGTATACTGTATTTAGAGTCCATAGTCAAAGAAAAATTATTTTGCTCACCTAAAATTTTATCCACACGAGTCATTTCAATAGCACTCGTATTTGAGTGATATATAGTTAAGAACTTGCAAATAATTACAAGGATCTAATTAGATGGTTGACTTCATTGACCAATGAATGGCATGAATCATTTAATGAGATAGTGGCAGAGATAGCAGTAGTGGAAGTGCAAGTGGTTTGTTTTTAATGCACTTAGTTGAATAAAGTTTGCTGGCCTGCTCTAGGTTGAATGTTGCTGTAGGTGACTGTTTTGTGATACCACCTGTTTCCTGGGGTGCAAAGTTACATCAAATTGTTAATTTGTGCCCATTACCTAAAACAAAGAGCCAGGAGCTCCATCCATTACCATGGGTATTTCAAGCTCTCATCTTGAGTTTTGAAAATTATCCACATTTTAAAATATGTGTTCATTATATTCCAGACTGTAAAGTTGTTCCTAAATTACAGCCTATAAATTTATCAGGAAAATGAGCAAAAATGTTTCACAAAAACTAGTATCCTTTTAATTCAGAATTTTCAAAAATTTGGCTATGGTTATATCTTTGTTGTGGAAAATAGTTACATCTACTGTTTGATAGGAGCAGACAGAAAAGGGAGATAGAATAAAAACAATTGACCTGAGTGGAAAGCACAAACTGCATTTAATCATTTATAAAATGTAGTTTGTATGCCAAAAATATCAACACATTATTTATAATCATAATCATTTAAAGTAGACTTTATGTAACCCTTAATTAACAATGCTTGAAAAAAAGCTCATTCTCTTTAAAAATGTTATATAGACTTTCTAATATTTTAAACAATTTGTCTCCCAACTGACCTGAAATAATGAAATTGTACTTTTTTACTTCTCTTTTGCATAGAAAAGGACATATGGTGGCTTTTCATCGATTTACTCAGTTGTTTTTATTGTTTCTTTCATTTGTTCCTTGTCTGTATTTTATTATTTAGTTTAGTTTATTTATTGTTTAGTTTTGGGGGAGTCACAAATTTTATTTCTGAAATGACAAGCAAAATGGGGCTCCTAGTGGAAGAAATCACCATTGGTAAAAGTAAAAAACCTTCAACCAAACTGATCACTGCCTTCCTCTTTGTGTCCTAGGGATATCCGGAACCCACAGTCTTTCCCGATTATAGCAATCCAGCGTGCACCGAGTGGTGGACAGATCAGGTCCTTAACTTTCATAATCGTCTGGATTTTGATGGAGTGTGGATTGTAAGTTATTATTGCAGAATCAAATTTCCTTTGGAAACAGATATGCCAAATTTTCAGATGAATTTTGATCTCGATGTATAATAAAAATAGTTTGCTTTACATATTAGTACTAAAATTATTTTACTTAATGCTGAGTCTATATCCAGTGAATTAGGCTCCTAAGAGCTTTAGGTTCTTATCCTGTATCTTTGATCAACAGTTATTTCATTTTGATAAAGTCTTTTGCTTTCTCATGGTCATGGTTTGCTTTTTCTCCATTAACTGTTTGTCAGCTTAAAAATACTGTTTTATTAAAAGTTATAATTGTCATGTTTTGTAGCATGGATTCATAAAAATTTAAATTAACATTAGAGAATAATTTAATGAGGGTCTTGTATTTTTCATGGAAGAACAATATTTCTTCAATATTCTCTAAGCACCAATGTTCAAGGCATTGAACCAGTCATTTTCGGAAGGACGCTGATGAATAAGATGTGCAATGATAAAAAAAAATTGTTACCAAGATTAGACATCACTCATTTTTAATTTATTTTTTAAAAATAGATTTGAGCTTAATTACATTCTCTTATTGTTCTTTGAACTATAGAAATTTTAGTATATCTTACATCCTTTTTTTTTATTTTTGAGACAAAGTCTCACTCTTGTCCCCCAGGCTGGAGTGCAATGGTGTGATCTTGGCTCACTGCAACCTCCACCTCCTGGGTTCAAACGATTCTCCTGCCTCAGCCTCCCGATTAGTTGGGATTACAGGCGCCTGCCACCACGCCCAGCTAATTTTTGTATTTTCAGTGGAGATGGTGTTTCACCATGTTGACCAGGCTGGTCTGGAACTCCTGACCTCAGGTGATCTGCCCACCTCGGACTCCCAAAGTGCTGGGATTACAGGTGTGAGCCATGGCTCCCGGTCTAACATTCTTAACAACAACAATAAAATCTTCACAATTTGTAAGGCGAGGATCAACCTTTGAAATGGTATTTCTGAATTAGCTGGTTGAATTAAATTTATGAAAGGTAAAAATGTGCCCACTGTCATTTAGAAGTGGAACATACCTTACAAATATATAACCTAATACAGTGACTTAATTTTATAAAAGATAAAACAGAGGGCAGGAAAAGTTAGGGTTATTATTTAAAATCCAGAAAGCAGATAATAAGAGACCCAGATATCCTGGCTCATAGTTCAGTAAGCATTTCTCAACAGCTAAATGTAGATCAATAGCATTTTATACTTTGTGCGTTTTCTGTCTTTGAAGGAAATGAATGAAGTATCTAGCTTACATCAAGCTTCTGATCAGTGTGAATCAAACATCTTCAACTTTCCTCCTTTTACTCCTAGTAAGTTTTCACCTGTTTGCTAATGATGTAGTCATAAGCCATGCTTAAAACCCCCTCAGTAATCCTCAGTGTGGTCAGGAGCAATTTCACTTCCCAGTCTAAGGGGTCTCCTAAACATCCTGAACACTCCTCTGCTGAAGTCTCTGCAGCAGTGTTGGGTCTCTGATTACTCTTTTGCTGTCATAACTTCAGGGCAATGTGACAGAGTCTGAGCCTGGCTACCCCTCCTGGCTGCCCTTCCAGTCTAGAGTTCACAATGCTTGCATCCTTTTCTTTTCCCTCAAGTCCCGCAGGTGTCAGTATTAAAATCTATGAGAATTTCAGGACACTTTAAGATTCATATTACCTTAAATTGAAATAAATCTGTAATTTTCTTGTTTTCTTTATTCTTTCCTTCCTTCCTTCTTCCTTTCTCCTTAGTCTCCCTTCCTTCCTTCTTCCCTTTTTCTTTTTTCTCCTCCCCTCCTCCCTCTCTCTGATCATTAGCAACGGTTTAAAGCATCAGTGGTTCATTCAATGTCCTATTTATAGGTCCCATATCTAGTCAAGGTTAATTTTCCAGTCTCTGATTTTGAAAGAATATGTGTGGGGTGGGGGCACAGTGTAGAATAGACTATGGTGTGGCAACAAATAAACCTCAGTATCTCAGTGGATTAACACAATAACCGTTTACTTTTTGCTCATATCATGCTCGTTTATTTTTTGCTCACATCATCCTCTGGTGAGGGATGGGTAACTAGAATCCAAGTGGTGATTCAGATCTATGTCTGGTTCTCCCATCTCCTCAGAGACCTTTGTTTCCAGGTTCCTGGGTGAGAGAGAGAGAGGGTGGGGAAGGTTTTATGGGCAGGCCTGGAAGGGAGGTGTACCCAATTTGCCCACATTCCTTTGACAGAGTCTGGTCACATAGGCTCAGCTTAACCTCAAGGAAAGGTATAATCTTCTTTTTTGCTTTTTGAGATAGAGTCTTGCTCTGTTGCCTGTGCAGTGGCATGATCTTGGCTCACTGCAATCTCTGCCTCTCGGGTTCAAGATATTCTCCTGCCTCAACCTCCCAAGTAGCTGGGACTACAGGCGCATACCACCATGCTAGGCTAATTTTTGTATTTTTTAATAGAGATGGAATTTCACCATGTTGGCCAGGATGGTCTCAAACTCCTGACCTCAGGTGATCCACCTGCCTTGGCTTCCCAAAGTGCTGGGATTACACGTGTGAGCCACCGCACCAGGCCATAATCTCCTTACACATCCAGGAAGAGAACCTGGCTTGTTTGGCATCTGAACAGCCTCTGCCAGTGTATTCTGGTTTGCCCACTTTACTTACACCCCTGAGACCAAGGTATAGCTGTTTCTTTAACTCCTTTTGGTCACTTAAAGAGTAAATAATTTTTTGGAGGAAGTCTTGACCTCTTGCAAAATCCACTGTTTGCTTTTTCAACTTATTCTTTGTTCTTTTCTGCTCTGTCTGTATTCCCCTACTTTTTTTCCACTCTGGATTTATCAGGTTTCTTTCTCTTAATCTCTAAATTCTATTTTTGGCCAAAAGGAAATTTTGTTTTCGATTTTTTTTTTCCTATAGAAAACCTCAGTCCTATCACTTTCTAATTCTTCTGGTGGGCACCCCACTCCCTGCCCCCAGCATTTTGTCTGCTCACATATGACCGGCCACTTTTGCCCATAGCCAGGAAGCCCCACCCCTTTCCAGGATTGCATAGTGAACGTTAATTAGCATGAGAAAGAGCATTGAAGTGGTTGTCAATCTCATGCCACACATTTGGCTGTGTGAGAAATACAATTTTCTTCCCATCTTCCATTGCAACTTCATTTCCGACTCCAAACCTTGATTCTGTTGCACTGGGTAAGAAAAAACCTCAGCCATTCCTGGTTCCACCACTTCCTGGAATTGTGCCTCACACTCAGGTCCTAGGTATGGGCAAGACTTTGTGAAAGAAGGCAGATATGGCCACAGTGAAGAGTTCACAAGGAGACGAAGTGGCAGAGAAGATTTGCCATTTTAGGCTTGAGGAAGAGAAAATACAAACAATGAGAATTCTCACATGCAGGATTTGAGTATTTACACATCAAGTTACCCAAATGCCACATCTTCTTTTTCTTTTTCTTTTTTTTTTTTGAGATTGACTGTCACCCAGGCTGGAGAGCAGGGGCATGATCTCGGCTCACTGCAATCTCTGCCTCCTGGGTTCAAGCTATTCTCCTGCCTCAGCCTCCTGAGTAGCTGGGACTACAGGTGCATGCCACCACGCCTGACTAATTTTTGTGTTTTTAGCAGAGATGCGGTTTCACCATATTGGTCAGGCTGGTCTCAAACACCTGACCTCAGGTGATCCACCCACCTTGGCCTCCCAAAGTGCTGGGATTACAGGTGTAAACCACTAAGCACAGCCCCTATTTTTCTTTTAAGTGTGACTGAGGTTTGTATAATAAAAAAGAAAAAATTCCCTTTCTCTACCTTCATACCTATACATTGTACACTCAATTTCTCTTGGTTAAATATCTGTAGATAAACATTGTATGCTTTATACTTAAACTCAGATCCACTGCCTTTGCTCTGAGCAAGTTTCTCAGTTGCCTCCACTCACCAGGATTCTTTGTGAGCTTGAGGGAATGCGGATTAATTTTAATGATCCATCTCCTTGGAGGGCTCAATGTGAGCCCCAGGCAGGAAATAGCATTTAGGATAGAATTTAAAATCTGGAACAGATTTGGTCAGGTGGAGACTGGTGGGGAAAGAATAGTAATCAGGAAGAAAATAATTGGGTGGCTTTTTTGTTAAAGATGGTTGATGAGGAAGTGCCTCACTGATGAGTATTTCCCACCAGGAGTTCTGGACCGCGTACTATTTGCAAGAACCCTCTGCATGGACACGGAATTTCAAGGGGGCCTTCACTATGACTTCCACAGCTTTTATGGCTACTCTATGGCCAGAGCCACAGACACGTAAGGACTTGATTTTCCCCTAATTTCAGATATGGGGAGATTGGAGGTGGAGTGTTTTTCTTCTTTTCTATAAGTAACATTGTTCAAATATTTTTTGCATTTAAAGAAATGTCAAAACTCTGTTCTTACAGAGTATTTAAGAGGTCCTCTCCTATAAACCAAGGTCCTCTCCTATAAACTCTTGGCTTATAGGAGAGGACCTCTTAAATACTCTGTAAGAGTATTTGCATCGTTTCTGTACAGGATTATTTTTGACTGGCTTATGGCTAAGGAGTTTATCTCAATGATACTAGCAGGCAATATTATATAAGGCATTTAGAGTCCTCAGCTAGGAGTCAGCTCTCTCAGATCCTTTTACTAAATGCACTTGGATTGCTTGGTTTTAGCAAATAAAAATATTGGACACCAAATTAAATTTGTATGGGACATTCTCATACTGAAAATTGCTCATTTTTTTTGAAACTCAAAGTTACCTGTATTTCCTTTTGTTACATGTAAATTTCTGGTGCCACAAAAGAAATAGCACTGGAATATAAATTTTCTCAGCAAAGCACTTTTTACTTCTATATAAGGGTGCATCTCATGGATGGAGCAATGGCGAGTGCACACCCAAACAGGGGAGAGGAAGGGGTTCTTATCCCTGACACACGTAGCCCCTACTGTTATGTTGTTCCCCTATTGGCTATAGTTGGAACACACAGTCTACTCTAATTCCGATTGGCTATTTTAAAGGGAGCAGGGGTATGAGCCAGAGTGGTGGGGTGAGCAGTTTGACAGGAAGGATGGTTACAGAACAGGTAACTAGAGGAGACTTAGGTCAAAGCAGGAGATGAGGGGAACAGATGTGAACTACTGATTAGAACTGACAGGAAAGTTGTTTACTGAGACTAGGTTAAGGGCAAAGAAAACCAGGAAGTTATATTTTCAAATGGAGAACAAAGAACAGGGGAGCTGAACATACTGATACACTGGTTCTTTGTAGAGGATCTCAGAAGTCATTGTACTTAACAATTTACAGGCTAAACCCTTTGAAGAGGAATTTATTATATCCTACACCGTTATTTATCTGGAAATGCACACCATACTCTTCTAATGTCCTTCCCAATGTCCTGCTTGTCTACCTCATAATTCTCCCTTCTGCCCCAAGACACACACACATACACACACACATGCATGCACACACAACTACCATCACCACCACCACCATCACCATCATTACTCAACACCATCACCATCATCTAACCACTACCATTACCATCACTACCACCATTATTGTGATCACCACCACTATCACTACCACTGCTATCACCATCACCACCACCACAGTTACCACCACCATCCCAACCACCACCACCCATTATGAAAGTCTTCCAAGGAGACACATGTGTTCTGCAAACCATTACATCCTTTGTATCTTGTCATGTGGAGTTTTACTTGTGACTTTGTAAATTGAGAAATAGCTCCCCTTCTCACAGTTTCTTCTGTGGAAGATGGTAAAATACAATCATTATACCTAAGACAGCAAGACAATTTGGAGCCAGGCTTAAGAAGGTTTTAATTTGAATTTGCAGCACAGATGGGAAAACTAAAGTGTTGGAAGATCTGCACAGTCTAAGCTGATTCTGTTTGGTGGATCCTCCAGTGGTTTAGGAAAGAGCATCTTTGTGTTTCTCAGCTTCTCTTTTCCTGTTTTGGTGTTCTAGAGCACTGTTGTGGGGATGGGGGCAGGGAGACTTTGATGGGCTTATGGGACCTGTCTCAGTCATTTTTTTACTTGACATCTCTTTCTCTCTGGTACTTGAGGTCATGACCATTCCTTTAAACTCAGATCCTTCAGTTCTTAAGATATTGCTCTGCTGGCTGGGTGCCGTGGCTAACATCTGTAATCCCAGCACTTTGGGAGGCTGAGGCGGGCAGATCACCTGAGGTCAGGAGTTCAAGACCAGCCAGGCTGACATGGTGAAACCTTGTCTCTACCAAAAATACAAAAATTAGCCAGGTGTGGTGACAGATACCTGTAATCCCAGCTACTTGGGAGGCTGAGGCAGGAGGATCGCTAGAACCTGGGAGGTGGAGGTTGCAGTGTAGTACCTCGAGCACCATTTACCTGGCTCTGTTACCTGCTTTCACCTCATCTTCCCACTATAGCTGATCTTTTTTGAAACTCTTAAATTCTGTATCTTGGTTGGTAGCAACAGCATCCCTATATCCCGGACTCCCAAGTGAGAAGCTTGGCATCATCCTTTATGCCTTTTGTACCCTCACATCCAATCAGTTCTTGATCCTTTTGAGGTTACTTTTAATCATTTCTGTAACCACCTCCCTATTTCCCCATTGATACTTCTTAATTAGATTATCATCATCCCTCACATAAATCATTACGCTAGCCCCAGAACTAATCTCCCTGACTTTAGCCTTATCTCCCAATAACCTATCCTCTACCCTTTCTGCTTGAGGCAGAGTCCAAGGAACAGCTGCATCAGCATCACCAGAAACTATTAGCATCTTGGACCTCAACCCTGAACTTAGGAATCAAAATCTGCATTTTATCAAGATACCTGGGTGTACTGAGCATATATTAAGATTTAGAAAGCACTACTATACATTCCTGACAAAGTGATCTTTCTAAAGCACAGTTTGCTCATTTCTCTTTTTAGTGTGAAGTTATTTGTGGCTTGCTATTTTTTATACAGTCAAATACTTAGCATAACCTGTAAGATACTTTATAATCTAACCTTTTCTTATGATTTTTCTCTCATCTCTGCTGCTTCTTGCTGTTCCCAAATCCAAGCGCTATTCATTATTTCACGCCTTTCATGTGCTATTTACCCTGCACGAGATGTCCTTCCTTACCCTGTCCATCTTGCAAAATATACTTATCTAAAAAACCTCACCTCAGATATAAATTCTGGAAACTTTACTGGCAGTTCTAGAAAATGGAAGTATCATTCTAGGAAAAGATTGTTTTCCATTTTTTTTTTGTGCTACATTTGTTCATATTCCAATATGCTTAGTATGCAAAAAAACATGGTTTCAATTTTTAGATGCTCATTTTCTTTCTGCTGGACTCTAAGTTTTTTGAGGGCAAAGTCACCCCTTATCCTTAGCCTGATCAATAGTGTGTGTGCCGAAGACACTTTGTTGGATAAAGGCCTGGCCTGAGAGAAAGAGGAAGGACAGGGCCCAGCACCCACGGGACCTGATAACTTAGGGGCAGAGACTGGGTCTGTGTTATTTTCCAGCACTATTTTGTCCTCATGACTTTGCATTATGTTAGATGGTCCAGATGAGAGTTGTTGTCCAGAAAATGTAAAAGTTTGTATTCTGGTTAAAAAAAAAGAAAAGCTCTAAGAAGAAGGACATATGTTTCTGATATCATTATTTTCTCTTTCTTTGTCTTTTTTTCTTTCATTCTATTTTTCCTGAGAAATAAACTAGAGAAATAAGACTCAGTTTCCTCATCTCTGAAATGAGAGATTTGGATTGATGTTCCCATAGTCTCCTTTTTTGATATGTTTTTATTCCTAGGTGCTTCTATCTAAGAATGAGAAGTGGGAAACAGTGAAAAAATAGTCAGGGTGAGAAAGAAAGAGAAAGAAAGGGTTGGAGGAGGGGAAGAAAATTTCAAATTGCTTTGTTGCCAGTGACTCCTTGTGGCAAAAGTGGTATAAAATCAAGAATGGGTTGGTAAATATATTCTAATAGTTATGGTTAATAGCTAAAAGGTAATTATGATTGAGTAAATAATAGGTGTCTTTCTAATTTATCTGGCCTGGCATAATGGCCTATGCTCCCAGAGGACAGTAGAGATAAGCAGAACTTGGTCTTTGGTGTGAGGCAGAATTGAATCAAAAAATGGATAAGATTTTCATTCAATGGAATCTGGACATCAGGATAACTGAAGTCATAGGTCTGGTAAATATGTGGGTCAACCTTAAATGGAAGTATAGTTTGGGGACAGTGGGCCAACCAGGAATAAAATTACCCCCACCTCTAAGCTGAAAGCCAAAAGAGATTAGATTCTTGTTTCTTTTTTTTTTTTTTTTTTGAGATGGAGCTTCACTCTCGTTGGCCAGGCTGGAGTGCAATGGTGGAATCTCGGCTCACTGCAACTTCTGCCTCCCAGGTTCAAGTGATTCTCCTGCCTCAGCCTCCCAAGTAGCTGGGATTACAGGCATGTGCCACCATGCCTGGCTAATTTTTTGTATTTTTAGCAGATATGGGGTTTCTCCATGTTGGTCAGGCTAGTCTCAAACTCCTGACCTCAAGTCATCTGCCTGCTTCAGCCTCCCAAAGTGCTGGGATTACAGGCGTGAGCCGTCTCACCCGGCTGAGAATAGATTCTTTCAGTGATCACAACCTGATTATAAACTGGCTAGACCTGGGGGATAGAAAAAGAAAACTAAAAGTTAGAAAAGAGAAAGCCTCTGAATAACACTGTTCCTTTAAACTGTAAAAAAACCAACCAACCAAAAAAAAAAAAAAAACCCAACAGTTATCTAATCTGTTTTACCATAGTAACAGCTTGCCTCTAAATAAACTGTAACCACAGATATCTTCAACCCTGTTTCGGTTTCACTCTGTGTAAGCTGAATGTGTTTCTTTCATGATTGATGATTGCAGAGTACAATAAACCTGCAGCCAGTGGTAATAAAACGAAGTGTCTGCTAGTCTATATTGAGTGAGTAATCTCTCCTCCAACCTACCTCTATTTGTGACAGTAAATTGTCAGAATGAAGCATGTCACTTTCTTAAATCAATTTTCCATTTCAGAATGTTCTCCCTTTTGCCATAAGCCATTCAGTATTTATAGACTCTCCAAACATCCCTAGGAAAATGAAGTGAGGAGGCTTTGGTGACTGTGATAGCATCTTGAGGAACTGCCTGTTGCCTAGTGATAAAAATTTGCAGAGAGAGGTTTTAGGAAAGCTACACTTATCTCAGACCATGTATTAGAAAAAAGAAAGAAGAGCTTGCCTGGGAAGAGCTAGCAGCAATTGTGGCTCAGGTCTTACTATCCTCTAATTGTATTATTGTTCAATTTTAGAACTCTAATGGAAGATGTGGGCTTTATACCATAGAAAAAAAGAGGAAGTAATTTTAGTAAAATACCTATTCTAAAGGTGTCCAGAATAAAAGCTAGGCAAACAGCCTACATCTAAGCATGGGTCATCCCACTTTATGTTCATCCCCTCCCCTGAAATAATTACCATTCTGATACTGTGCTTTTAACTTCTTTGCTTTCATTTCTTTTCTTTTCTTCTTTTTTTTTTTTTTTGAGATGGAGTCTCACTCCATCACCCAGGTTGGAGTGCAGTGGTGCGATCTAGGCTCACTGCAACCTCTGCCTCCGAATTCAGGTGATTCTCCTGCCCCAGCCTCCTGAGTAGCTGGGATCACAGGTGCATGCCACCACACCCGGCTAATTTTTGTATTTTTAGTAGAGACAGGTTTCACCATGTTGGCCAGGATGGGCTCAATCTCCTAACCTGTGTTCCATCCGCCTGGGCCTCCCAAAGTGCTGGAAATACAGGCGTGAGCCACTGCACCCAGCCTTCTTTCATTTCTGTATTGTTTTACTTAATATCTAATATTTATATATATTAAAATGAAAATATTTTCTGTTAGTTGTTTTAACGCTATAGAAAATATCAGATATCATCTTTTGAGACTTACTCATTTCAATGACTTTTATTTTGCATAGATTAAAATTTGATAATATTGAGAATTGCTAAGAATAAGTCTGAGGTTTCAGAGGAACCCAGAGATAAGTTCTGAAGCTTCAGGTGTACCAGCTGGTGCGTGAACTCTCCTCGTAGTCCAGCAGAGGGTGCAGTGCTCCCACCTGAGCAGGTGCTGTGCTGAACAGGATTATGCATGGCATAAATTCATGGAGCCAAGGGACGTTAGAAAGAAGATGGGGCAAAGAACCCAAATCATGTTTCCAGTATACTGTCAACCAAAAAGACCAGACCACAGCCAGATCCAACCAGCTAGAGAAAACAAAATCAGAGACAGAGCATAGAGAAATTGCTATGGGGGCTAGAATATAGAGGTTGGTACTGCCTTATATGAGATCTGAAACCTTACCCAAGAGTGGGAAAGAAGCTTTTAAATGGTGCTAAACCTGCTTATATACTTGGTTTTTGACACCCTGATGTTATTTTCTGAGTTTGGTTGGAAGGTCCATTGCTGCTCTTGTTGTAAGCTGAGTCCTAGACATTCACAGCCCACCTCACATTCCACTGGCTGTATTCCTTTTCAGAGCCCTGAACAAAGCCTTCATGGATAAAAGGAGCTTCATCTTATCCCGTTCTACTTTTGCTGGATCTGGCAAATTTGCTGCTCACTGGTTGGGGGACAATGCAGCCACATGGGATGACCTCCGATGGTCTATCCCCAGTATCCTTGAGTTCAACCTGTTTGGCATCCCCATGGTAAGCCTTATTTCCAACCAGGGAATTTTAACCCTTTGTCTTTTGACATTCTTTTAATTAGCAGTCTTAGAGATTATCTGAAAAACCAAGAAGCATGTTCCAAGGTGGTATGTATTGGGAAAATCAATTTTTATGTGTTACGTGAGATTGCTTCTGAAGATAGAATGGTAGTACTTTATCATTGAGTTGTCATCTGTGGAATCTCTGAAGATAGGAAGGAGACACTATGAATAAAATGTGTTAGGATCACAGGAAAATTCCATCAAGAGAGCATTAGTAAATAAGAAAGTATGCAAGGAGAGATCAAAAATTGACACCCTATCGTCAAAATTGAAAGAGCTAGAGGAGCAAGATAAAAAAACCTCAAAGTCTAGCAGAAGACAAGAAATAGCTAAGATCAGAGCAGAACTGAAGGAGATAGAGACACAAAAAACCCTTCAAAAAATCAATAAATCCAGGAGCTGGTTTTTTGAAAAGATCAACAAAATAGACAGACCACTAGCCAGATTAATAAAAAAGAAAAGAGAGAATAACCAAATTGATGCAATAAAAAATGATAAAGGGGATATCACCACAGATTCCACAGAAATTCAAACCATCATCAGAGATTATTACAAACAACTCTATGCACATCAACTAATAAACCTGGAAGAAATGGATAAATTCCTGGACACTTGCCTCCTCCCAAGCCTAAACCAGGAAGAAGCCGAAACCCTGAACAGACCCATAACAAGGTCTGAAGTTGAGGCAGCAATTAAGAGATGACCACCCAAAAAAAGCCCAGGTCCAGACTGGTTCGTAGCCGAATTCTATCAGACATACAAAGAGGAGCTGGTACCATTCCTTCTGAAACTATTCCAAACAATACAAAAAGAGGGAATTCTTCCCAAATCATTTTATGACACCAACATCATCCTGATTCCAAAACTTGGCAGAGACCCAACAAGAAAAGAAAACTTCAGGCCAATATCCATGATGAACATAGATGCAAATATCTTCAATAAAATACTGACAAGCCGATTGCAACAGCACATCAAAAAGCTTATCCACCATGATCAAGTAGGCTTCATCCCGGGGATGCAAGGCTGGTTCAACATACGCAAGTCTATAAACGTAATTCACCACATAAACAGAACCAAAGACAAAAACCACATGATTATCTCAATTGATGCAGAGAAGGCCTTTGACAAAATTCAACAGCCCTTTATGCTAAAAACACTCAATAAGCTAGGTATCGATGGAACGTATCTCAAAATAATAAAAGCTATTTATGACAAACCAACAGCCAATATCATACTGAATGGGCAAAAACTGGAAGCATTCCCCTTGAAATGTGGCACCAGACAAGGATGCCCTCTCTCACCACTGCTATTCAATATAGTATTAGAAGTTCTAGCCAGAGCAATCAGGCAAGAAAAAGAAATAAAGGCATTCAAATAGGAAAGGAGGAAGTCAAATTGTCTCTATTTGCAGATGACATGATTGTATATCTAGAAGACCCCATCGTCTCAGCCCCAAATCTCCTGAAACTGATAAGCAACTTCAGCAAAGTCTCAAGATACAAAATCAATGTGCAAAAATCACATGCATTCCTATACACCAATAACAGACTTAAAGAGAGCCAAATCAAGAACAAACTTCCGTTCACAATTGCCACAAAGCGAATAAAATACCTAGGAATACAACTAACAAGGAACGTAAAGGACCTCTTCAAGGAGAACTAGAAGCCACTGCTCAACGAAATAAGAGAGGACACAAACAGATGGAGAAACATTCCATGTTCATGGTTAGGAAGAATCAATATGGTGAAAATGACCATACTACCCAAAGTAATTTACAGATTCAATGCTATCCCCATCAAGCTACCAATGACCTTCTTCGCAGAACTGGAAAAAAACACGTTAAACTTCATATGGAACCAAAAGAGAGCCCACATAGCCAAGTCAATTCTAAGCAAAAAGAGCAAAGTGGGAGGCATCACACTACCGGACTTCAAACTATACTACAGGGCCACAGTAATCAAAACAGCATGGTACTGGTACCAAAACAGAGATATAGCCCAATGGAACAGAACAGAGGTCTCGGAGGCAACACAGCATATCTACAACCATCTGATCTTTGACAAACCAGACAAAAACAAACAATGGGGAAAGGATTCCCTGTTCAATAAATGGTGTTGGGAAAGCTGGCTAGCCATGTGCAGAAAGCAGAAACTGGACCCCTTCCTGACACCTTACACTAAAATTAACTCCAGATGGATTAAAGACTTAAACATAAGACCTAACACCATAAAAACCCTAGAAGAAAATCTAGGCAAAACCATTCAGGGCATAGGTGTAGGCAAGGACACCAAAACACCAAAAGCATTGACAACAAAAGCCAAAATAGACAAATGGGACCTAATCAAACTCCACAGCTTCTGCACAGCAAAAGAAACAGTCATGAGAGTGAATGGGCAACCAACAGAATGGGAAAAAATTTTTGCTGTTTACCCATGTGACAAAGGGTTGATATCCAGAATTTACAAAGAACTAAAACAGATTTACAAGAAAAAAACTAACAAACCTATTCAAAAGTGGGCAAAGGATATGAACAGACACTTTACAAAAGAAGACATACATGAGGCCAACAAACATATGAAAAAATCCTCATCATCACTGGTCATCAGAGAAATACAAATCAAAACAACATTGAGATACCATCTCACGCCAGTTAGAATGGCGATCATTAAAAACTCTGGAGACAACAGATGCTGGAGAGGGTGTGGAGAAATAGGAACACTTTTGCACTGTCGGTGGGAGTGTAAACTAGTTCAACCATTGTGGAAGACAGTGTGGCGATTCCTCAAGGACCTAGAAATAGAAATTCCATTTGACCCAGCAATCCCATTACTGGGTATATATCCAAAGGATTACAAATCGTTCTACTATAAGGACACGTGCACACGAATGTTCATTGCAGCACTGTTTACAATAGCAAAGACCTGGAACCAACCCAAATGCCCATCGACGATAGACTGGATAGGGAAAATGTGGCACATATACACCATGGAATATTATGCAGACATCAAAAATGATGAGTTTGGGTCCTTTGTAGGGACATGGATGAACCTGGAAACCATCATTCTCAGCAAACTGACAGAAGAGCAGAAGATCAAACACCGCATGTTCTCACTCATAGGCGGGTGTTGAACAATGAGAACACATGGGCACAGGGAGGGGAGCACTACACACTGGGGTCAGTTGGGGGGAAATAGGGGAGGGACAGTGGGGGGGTGGGGAGCTGGGGAGAGATAGCAAGGGGAGAAATGCCAGAGGTAGGTGATGGGGAGGAAGGCAGCAAATCACACTGCCACATGTGTACCTATGAAACACTTTTGCATGTTCTTCACATGTACCCCAAAACCTAAAATGCAATAAAATAAATAAATGGGAAAAAAAAGAAAGTATGAAACTGGGAACTGAATATTAAGGAACATCCTCAACACAAAGACCATTGTTTGCTTTCAATGAGTCCGTGATGCGTTCTATCTTGTTTCTCTCATTTGGCTGAGAGCATGCTCTGTGACTCTGGGATCTCCTTAGCATGGAATGATGTGACTGAGAGGTTCTCCTTTCCCTTATTTTATAAGTACTCAGTACATGCTTTCACCTCTCGTTGACCAGTGTGCTGGTATGTGTGTTAATTCTCCAGGTAGGTGCCAACATCTGTGGTTATAACAACAATGTCACAGAGGAGCTCTGCAGAAGGTGGATGCAGCTTGGAGCATTTTATCCACTATCAAGGAATCACAATGGGCCTGGGTTCAGGGTAAGGTCTCCAAGAGGAGTGATGGAAACATTTTGGATTAGCTAATCTACTTGCTTTTAAAGAGGATTTGAGGAAAATATTACTAAAGGTTGCCCCTAACTGCAGAAGAAGGCTAAAAAAAATCTTGTGTGATAGCCTTAAAAAGCAGGCTATCAATCAAGGTGAGCGTGCATTGAAAGGGGTATGTATATGCTGAATAATTTTATTCTTGGAAACTCATCAACAAGGTGAGGTTTGTTAAAATTTCCATGTTGCTGCCATCACTTCTGTTACTACTTTATATATGATAGGACAATCGGAATTTGTGGGTATTTTATTTCAATTAATACAAGGGAAATCCCTCATAGGTAAGGAGGAGGAAGGAGAAAGAATATAAAGAGGCTTAGGCCAGTCATCTCAAAATTGCTTTCACCTTGTTACATCATTCTACCTTCTATGAATAGTTTGGAAGACTTCCCAACTATTTCTCATGACTCATCCCACCTTTATCTTCATCCACCCAAAATAGTATTTTTGATGGGGCAAAATAGTATTTTTGATGGGCATATAGAAGTGGGTTCAAAGTCCCCCATTAGGAGGTGTTTATGATGATGGAAGAAGCAAGTAGGGTGAGATGTCCTTTCTTTTAATAAAGTCATCTTACATTGAAATATTACCAATTGAGTGGTTTAGGTCTTAATAGGTTCATTAGAATTAACGTCCTAATGATCATTTTAGCTCAAGCTCTTGACTTTGTCTTTAACTCAGGAAGGATTAACAGTCAAGCCTTCAAAGTATTTTCTCCCTGGGCTTTTCTGGCCACTTGTGATCTAGAGAGAGATGAGCTATTTCTGAATGTCTAAGCAGGTGCTTGGGAGCAGGTGGGTGGGTGCTCTTCATGAAGCTGTGTCCTGGAAGACTTACATAGATAAGAGCACTCAGATTACCCAGGAAGCTAGGTTTAAGCACACGTTTTCTTTTGACTAAACTAGTTCTATTCAATAAAATTATAAGGAGAGCCACATATGTCAGTTTAAATTTTAAAAGTAGAAATTTATTTATTTATTTATTTGTTTGTTTGTTTGTTTCTTTGTTTATTTATTTTTTGATGGAGTCTAGCTCTGTCACCCAGGCTGGAATGCAGTGATGCAATCTTGGCTCACTGCAACCTCTGCCTCCTGGGTTAAGCGATTCTCCTCCCGAAGTAGCTGGGATTACATGCACCCACCACCATGCCCCATTAATTTTTGTATTTTGGGTAGAGATGAGGTTTCGCCGTGTTGGCCAGGCTGGTGTCGAACTCCTGACCTTGTGATCTGCCCACCTCGGCCTCCCAAAGTGCTGGGACTACAAGTGTGAGCCACCATGCCTGGCCACAGGGTCATTATTTTAAAATAATATATATATATATTATTATATATAGCTCAATGTATATATATATGTGTGTGTGTATATTAAATAGCATTATCATTTCAACCTGTGTTTAACACAATATATTGTTAATGAGCTATATTATGTCCTTTTCATTCTACCAAGTCTTCACTATTTGGTATGCATTTTACACTTGTAGCATATTTCAATTCGTATGCTAAGATTTTCTGTATGCAGTTGAAGTAAAATGCAATTCTACCAAAGCAATAAAGTTGGTTTTATGGAAAACATTTACATTGATTCAGTTTTAAGATTTATATTTAAATTAACTGTCATCAAATAAAATGGAAAGTTTACTTCCTCAGTCTCAGTAAACACAGTTCAAGCATTCAACAGCTTCCTGTGGTTGGTGGCCAGCAGAGCAGACAGCACAGCTCTGGACTTTCTCAGTTGATAACCAGGGTGATGGAGGCTATGGAGTGTTATTCTCTTTAATGTCTGGCTTCAGAGTTTTTATGAGCCTTACACTGGGAGCATAGAGTGGTCTCATGGGATCATTTTATTTAGAAGGGGAGAAATGGGCCTCTTAGGGAACAAAAGAAAAAAAATGTTTAGGTGGCTTTATCCAAAACTCAATATAGGATGACACGTTAAAAGATGATGTATATGTCTTTTTTTTTTTTTTTTTTTTTTTTTTGAGTCGGAGTTTCGCTCTTGTTACCCAGGCTGGAGTGCAATGGCGCAATCTCAGCTCACCGCAACCTCCGCCTCCTGGGTTCAGGCAATTCTCCTGCCTCAGCCTCCTGAGTAGCTGGGATTACAGGCACGCGCCACCATGCCCAGCTAATTTTTTTTGTATTTTTAGTACAGACGGGGTTTCACCATTTTGACCAGTATGGTCTCGATCTCTTGAGCTCGTGATCCACCCACCTCGGCCTCCCAAAGTGCTGGGATTACAGGCGTGAGCCACTGCGCCCGGCCGATGTGTATGTCTTTCACATCTTCCAAATTACATGGAAAATGAACAAAATGAATGCTGACCATTGTTGGAAAATTGCCATCTCTGGATCCTAGGAAAATTAGATTTCTCTTCTAAAGGGTTTTTTTTTTTTTTTTTTGATTTTTTTTTTTTACTGTTGAATAAAATCTGCTAAAAACCATCTTTATAATTTATTTGCACAAGGTATGTGAAAGAACAATTAGAGGTCACTAATCTTTGGGTTAGGGAAAATAAAACAAATGCTGATGGTGGAAACATTACAGATAAAACTGGACGTAAAATTTTAAAATTAACATTCATACAAGCATATGGAAAGAAAATAATGGATTACAGACCATGGTGGCAGGTAATGTGGCTTATAAAGCAATGGATTTATTTTTTTTAGTAGTTGTACAACTTGTATTATTTTCCAAATAAAATATTATGAGAAACTTCAATAGGGAAGAGAACAACACTCACTGGGCCAGGTGGGAGAGGTGGAGGGGAGAGGAGGGGAGGGACAGTGGGGCAGGGGGCAGGGAGGATGGGGAGGGATAACACTGAGAGAAATGCCTGATGTAGGCGTTCATATAATAATAATAGTAATAATTGGGCTGAGCACGGTGGCTCATGCCTGTAATCCCAGCACTTTGGGAGGCCAAGGTGGGTGGATCATCTGAGGTCGGAAGTTTAAGACCAGCCTGACCAACATGGAGAAACACCACCTCTACTAAAATACAAAATTAGCCAGGTGTGGTGGTGCATGCCTGTAATCCCAGCTACTCAGGAGGCTGAGGCAGGAGAATCGCTTGAACCCGGGAGGTAGAGGCTGCGGTGAGCCAAGATTGCACCATTGCACTCCAGCCTGGGCAACAGGAGTGAAACTTTGCCTCAATCAATCAATCAATCAATCAATAAACGAAAACAAATAAATAAAATAAATAGATAAATAAATTGGAGCAGCCCTGGAGGAAGCAGTTCCCACTTCTCCATGGCAACCCGTGTGGGACTTCCATTTCACTCTGGGGCTGCTACAAGCTGCCCTCAGAAGATAGAAACCAAATTTAAACTCTGCCACCTGCTTGCAATTCTACGTTGGGAAACTCATATAATTCTTGGTATTGTTTTCTCATGTATAAAATGAACGAGTAGGACCAATATCTTTTCAGTTTTAGAAATGCTTTGGTGTTTCATAAGTTGGAGAAAGTGGTTACTTTCATCTGGGAAATCTTCTTATTGTAAGAGAACTTCTAAACCAGGATGGAAAGGAATATTCAGCCATTGCTTCCGTTTTCTCCTAGGACCAGGATCCCGCTGCCTTTGGTGCTGACTCCCTGCTGCTGAATTCCTCCAGACATTATCTGAACATCCGCTACACCTTACTGCCCTATCTCTACACCCTTTTCTACCGTGCACACACCCGGGGAGACACGGTAGCAAGGCCCCTTGTACATGAGTGAGTTTCCTGATTCTCAAAGACACCCTTTCCGATTGTAGTGTCACTTGACTTTGTTTGTGGTAGCAAGGTTAGTTAGGATCTTCTTGATACATAACGTGCTGTTGTCCTGTATTAGAGACTTCACCTGACTTCACTGTGTTACTCTTTACTAGGTTCTACCAGGACTCAGCCACGTGGGAGTTGCATGAGCAGTTCTTATGGGGACCTGGACTCCTCATCACACCTGTGTTATATGAAGTATGTTCATAATCTAAACAATAAGATGGGATATTGTACTTGTCGTCATGGTTCTATAGCTGTATAAGCTGGTTCCTGAGTATCTATGAATCTGCAGTTGTATCAAAATATGCATATAAATGAGAGAGATCATGGAATTTTGGAAATTAAAAAAAAAGTAAATCTTGGTCCCACTTTCACACCAAACAAAACAATTTTCATGGTGTAAAATTGCCTTAAAATTGAAGCCTGCATCCTTAAGCATATGGCTGTAGCATTGACAGTGGCTTTAAATACTTTGGGGTGCGTGTACTGAACTCTGTCTATATTTCCCTTTGTCCAGAGCAGGAGTGCTCTTGGATTGGGTTAGGCTGGGCTGGGAAGAGAGAATACCTATGGAGAAGTGAAGGGAGGGAGAGAGGAGTGCTGGGCAAAGGGAAGGCTAAACTCTGAAGTCCAAGTAGGAAGGACCATGTGTATCTTATTAAGTGTGATTGGAAGCAGGGATGAGTGGCAAAGTACGGGGCAAGGATCAGGAAGGATTATGCTGATTTGCTTGTACACATGAAATATTTCCAATGTACCCACGTCAAAGGCCCTTTGAGCTGGTGTTTTAGCCACACCATCTGATGACAGGTCTTGCTAATCAACCAGTGGCCCTGCTGGGAGGCTTTCCTGGGGCCTGGTGGTTTATCTCTCAAATGTCAAATTATGTGACCCAGTGAATGGACTTTCTCTGCTTCCCTTAGAAAGTACAGCAGCATTGAAGCAAAACAAATCATTTTTATTTGGGTAAATTGCTCAACCTTTGTGTTTCTGTGTTTTCCTTTGTAGAATGGGATGATCTCAGACCATCTCTCAGGGTTGTTCAGATAAACACATGCAATGACGCCTGGAGGTGTTTTGTAACTGTAGAGAGGGGTATGCTAATGCTACTCATTGTTGTTGTTTACCTAGGGTGTGGACGAAGTGAAAGCATATATACCTGATGCCACCTGGTATGACTATGAGACCGTAAGTAAGGCAGCCCCAGTTCGCTCAGAAACCCGCCTCTAACAGAGGACAATTCTAAAGCAGCAGTCTTGGGAGCTTGCCATAGAATAATAGTACAAGATTTATAGTTAGTTGATTGTGGTCCTTTTTGGTGAGAAATGCATATTAGTTGATTCAGGATGGTGCAACAGAACACCTTACACTGGGTAATTTATAAGCAACATGCATTTATTGCTCACAGTTCTGGAGGCTGGCAAGTCCAAGATCAAGGTGCTGACAGATTCTGTGTCTGGAGAAGGCTCACTCTGTTTCATTGATGGCACCTCCTCTCTCTTCCCTCATGACTTAATCACCTCATAAAAGGCACCACCCCTTAATACTATCACTCTGGGTATTAAGTTTCCACATGTAAATTTTGGGGTACACCAGCATTCAGACCATAGAAGAAGGCCTTTCCAAGTGTACAACGAAATAATTTGAATAACTGGAATAGGTTTATGGAAATCCATTATATCAACCTGGCTGTTGTGTTCCTATCAGGACTAGGTTTTGCCATTTGGCTGTGATAACCTAAAACTGAAGCCCAGGTGTAGAATGACAGCATGACGTAATATAAAGAAATAGAGGGGGCTGGAGTGTCTGCTCTGCTCTCTGCTACCCATATGCTTTCAGCAAGCCACTTCACTTTGGGGGTCTCTGTCACTTCTTTAAAATATGTCAACTGAACGAGAGGATATCTAAGGTCCCTCCTAGCTGAAACAGCTTATTACCTGATCTACCTTTTACTGTTGTTGCTGATTAGGGAGTGGCCATCCCATGGAGGAAACAGTTTGTGAATATGCTCCTCCCAGGTGATAAGATAGGACTTCATCTGCGAGGGGGCTACATATTTCCCACCCAGAAGCCAAACACAACCACAGAAGCCAGGTAAGCTCCTCACTTGTCTGAGGTATGACTATTCTAGTGCTCTAATGGAGCAGGGCATTATGAGAAAGACAGGTAGGGACAAAGAGTGGATGAGCCAAGGGGTAAGTCACCCATCAGTAATCTTCCCCCACTCCTTTCAAATTGATCCAAAATTAGCATCTTAGTCCTGATTTAGTAAATGGTAGTCTACCAAGGACATCTGCATAGTCCTTTACTTTGGGATTGAATCAGATTATAGGACTAGTCAAAATAATCACTGAGGAGGATTTTCCTATGGCCAGAAATTGTCCTTAGGTATATTGCCTACTGTGTGAGAGAATTTGAGTTAAATAGGAGATAAAGGTTATCATGTAGAAGTCAACATAGTTTGGAGGTCAAGAGCTGAGATTCTGCAGAATCTGGGTTCAAGCCTTGGTACAGGCTACATACTACATATGTTTACCTTGGGCAACTTACTTGTCTGTGCTTCTGATTATTATTGGCAAACTGGAGATGATGATTTTTTGACTTTTTAGAGTTATGATGAGAGTTAAATGAATTAATATAAATGATAATGTGTGTGAGACACTTAGAAGAATGCCTGGCACATGGTAAGCATCTAATAAGGCTAATTGTTGGTGTTGTGTATTGCAACCCAAACAGTTTTCAGTAGGAACTGCCTCTGTCCACCTGATCTGTCTTTTGTTGATCAGGTGTGTCCTCCCAATATCAACATCTCCTCAGTTTCTGGTATAGACTCTTGGATTATCTGTCCCTGGGGCATGACAGGGGCTGGTTTCACATAGTTCCATGTCATCTACATTCTCTGAAACAGGGAATTTCTCTTTTACAGCAGGAGGAATTCCCTGGGACTCATCATTGCCTTGGACTATAAGAGAGAAGCAAACGGGGAGCTGTACTGGGATGATGGTGTATCTAAAGGTAGACTTTCTCAAGGCACCATCATTGTGGGTCACAGTGGTTCTCCCTGAAAATTAATCCTCACAGGCTGCCCAGCATGGCACTAATCCTATTAGCGCTGTCATTTACATCTATAGCTTAGAATCGATGGGTTAAAATCCATTCTGAAAATTCTGTTAGCCAGGCACAATCCATTAAAATAGACTTCAAATGCACAAATTATATGTTATTGACTCTACCAAAGCAACTGACATTATTGAATGGGCTTAATTATTCTCTTCCTTGTATATTATTATTAATAACAAATAATCCACTTTGTTAATAGCTTTGGAAAATACTGCTTTGGTTTGAGGAAGAAATATCTAATTTGTATAGTGTACCTTTTCACTGTAAGATTTCCATATAAACACCTCACATGAACTTATGTGATTATATAAAAAGCCTGCCCTACATGGAATTAGTACGCATTGTGTTGAGTTTGAGGAACTCATGATCCAGCAGGATAGATACAATGTACGTGTACATAATCATAATGCAAATCAAAATGTTTTACATGCCAGCAAAATGGAACCACAGACTGACATGTGAATTTAGAGAAAATGATATAGGAAACATTTGCAGAAGTTTGAAAAAAATGCACAAAACTCAGATGAGCAGAACTAGATGGTTGGTAAAGTAATTCCAGGTGAAACGAAGAGCCTGACTCCCCAGCTGCTCGGTTTTGCATAGTAATGGGTACTCCTCTGTCTTTCTTTTTTAGATGCTGTAACTGGAAAGCAGTATATTCTATATGATTTTTCTGTTACCTCTGTAAGTACTTTCTTTGAGGAACACACAGCATATGTTCCTTGCTGTGATGGCTCCTTCGGTTTTTGGTTTAATATATAGACATGTGGTTATGTGTAACAGGGATAATGTTTTACTATCATGATTCCAAAAAGGATTTGAATTAACATGAAAATATTTAATGTGTGTCAGGTTTATAAGCTGCTACAAAACTGGTATGACTTCTGTGCAGAACCTTCTTTTCCTGGAAGAAAAGACCCTTTGCCTTTGAGTTTTATGTCATGGGTGCTGGCTTCCAAGATGCGTTTTTTTTTTTTTTTTTTTTTTTGAGGTTTGCAAGTGTATATGGGATGTGGGTGGGTTAGTGAGTGGTGTAGAGCCTTTTTAAGATTATTCCGTTACAGCTATCCTTTGTAGCACATAAAACTGGACCTTTGGCGCAGGTTATCAAGTAGTGGTTTTTAAAGGCTGGAAGATACAGAACGTCACTTGCCTCATATCTATTTCCCAAGGGGACTGAAAAAAGAAAGCAGCAAGGCTAGCAGAGAATGAGGGAATTCTGACTTGGTTTTCTTTGAAGTTTGATCGTGTATGGGCAGAACTTTCTTATGAGATGTCTCTCTTATTTCTCCTTTCTTTTAAATTATATATATATATGACTATATATATGTGTATATATGTATAATATGTATATATAAGGTATATATAATGGATCTACTTGACGATATATGTATATAATATATATCTTCAAGATATATATGATATAAATATACATATTATATCATATATCTTCAAGTATTTATATATATATACATATATACATATATATATGTATGTGTATATATATATGTATATATATATATATGTATCTTAAAGTAACCTTTTTATTTTGAGTTAAAGATCCCCATGTAGTTGTAAGAACTAGTACAGAGTTCCCATATACCCCTTTGCCCAGTTTCTCCTATGGTGACATCTTATAAACCTGTAGCACAGTTTCACATTGTGCTATAGGTTTATAAGAATGCTGGCATTGATGCTATCAAGGTATAGGACATTTCATTAGCACAAAGATTTCTCCCACTGCCCTTTAATAGCATGTCCACTTGCTTCCTCCCCCATCCCTTTTCAGACCCTGACAACCAATCATCTGTTTGCCATTTCTATAAGTTTGTTCTTTCAAGAGTGTTCTGTAAAGAGAACTAAACAGTTTGCAACCTTTGGGATTGGCTTTTTCATTCAGCAGAGCTCCCTGAAAACCAACCCAAGTTGTGCAGCTTGCTCCTTTTTATTGCTGGGTAGTGTTCCAACTTATGGCTATATCACTTTTTAAAAATCACTCACTGGATAAAGAGTATCTGGGCTGGCTGCAGTCATGAGCTGTTACAAATAAATTAAAATTGTTACTAACACTCATGTATGGGTTTTGGTGTGAATGTATCTTTTTATTTCTCTGTGATAAGTGCCTAAGAGTGCAGTTTCTGGGTCTTATGGTAGTGCATGTTTAATTTTATAATAATCTTCCAAACTTTTCTAGAAAGGCTGTAGCATTTTACATTTCCACCAGTAACATATGAGTGATCTAGTTTCTTTACATCACGGCCAGCATCTGATGTTGTCACTATCTTTTTTAAGCTTTTCTGATTGGGGTAATTATACTCAGTGTGTTTTTAATTTGTGTTTCTCTAATAGCTAATGACATTGAACATCTTTCCATATATCTATTTACCATCTATATATTTACATTTTTAATTTTGATGAATCTAATTTATCCTGATTTTCTTTATAAATTGTGCTTTTTGATGTCAAGTTTAAGATCTCTTTGCCAAGTTCCAGATTCTGAATATTACCTCGCATGTTAAAAAAATTATAGTCTGATCTTTTACATTTAAGTCTGTAATCTACTTTGAGTTAATTTTTATATACTATGTAAGATTTAGGTTGGGGTTTAACTTTTTGCCAGTTGCCCCAGCACCTTTGTTACAAAATCTGTCTTTGAAAAAAATCATTTGGGCATATATATATGGAACTTCTAATTTTTTTAAATCATCAAACCACCACTTTTTATTCAGTCTTAATTTCTACCTCCTTCTTTATCATAGTTCAACTTTGTCACTTTTGTTCCTTAAATAAGTTATCTAATTTCCTGTGCTTCAGTCTCCTCATCTGAAAAATGAGGGTAATTATAGCTTCAACCTCATAGCCTGCCATGAAAATTGAATGAAGTAATACATGTAAAATGGTTAGAACAGGGCCTAGCACATAATACACACTCAAATATTCTTAGCTCTTATCATCATTGTTAGTAAAGTAAAAGGAAAAAGTTACTTGGGCCCTTTTTGTGTATATGTATATGTCTTTATCTCTGTGTGCCAATGAGTCTCTTATCTTTTTGTTTACTTTGTGAGTACCTATTTTTCTGGTTGAAAATTCCACAGTGTCAGGGACATATTTCCTGAGTAATAGAATCAGTAAAGAACCAGTGAACCATAGCAAGCACAAAATATTACTTAAAAATTTAAGATCGATAAGAGTCTGAGTGAATGAGTTCCCTAGGTATGATCATTTGGAACTGCAGAGAAAAGGAAACTGCTTGAATCTCAAAAAATGAGACGTTGAGTGGTATTTGGGTTAATAAGAGTCTGAAGTATGTGGTTCTAATCTGACTTTTTTTTTCCCTTCCAGAACCATCTACAAGCAAAGATTCTTTTTAATAATTATATGGACACTTACAACCTAATGTTTACAGATATCACAATCTTGGGAATGGACAAACAGCCAGCGAATTTTACCGTCTTATTGAATAATGTCGCCATCTCCAGTCCAAGCGTTGTCTATAGTGCTTCCACAAAGGTAAGAGACGCTTCCATTCTGCAGGGCCCTTTCCAGAGACCCTGGCTCTGACAGCCGGCCCTACTTTGCTCTTTGAACTTTGGGCCATCAGACATAACTGATTTGCTGGGAGGTCCAACACATCACAGGGAGGATACAGAAGGAATGTGTGCATGCTAAAGAAAGAAAGACCTCTCTGCTTTGTTTGTATCATAGCTCTGAAGAAGATAGTGGGAGTCAGAACCCTGAGAAAAGGAAGTTCTTCTCTGGGCAAAATTAAAATGAGACACTCTGATCCCAGCTGGGACACAGTGAATAGATTGTACAATGGTTATTTACGCATTTGTTCTCTCATTGAAGGTAGACTCTCTTCATGAAACAGTTGATGCTTGTCCTTACTGTTTTAGGCTATTTTCATACCATTAATAAAATGTGAGTGGAGTAACACAAGGGGTAATCCAGTTTTTCTCTTGCTGAATGATTCTCTTACATTGCTAGTTGAATAGTTCAAGTTCTGGGAAATTCATTTTTTCTTAGGTCAGCCCCCTTCCATGTTGACAATACATAGAGTATAGGATAAGAGTTTGATTTCTAGAGTTAGACAGAATGGGGCCCCAATCCCAGCTCTTAGGATATTAAATCTCTCTGTATCTCAGTTTTCTATTCTGTAAAATGGAGATAGTCATAACATTTACAGCATAGAACTACTCTTGGGATTAATGGAGATCATGCTTATAAAGTGGTGATCACAGGGCTTGGCTTGTATAAATGCTCCATAACGTTTAGCTATTGTTGTTATTACTATTGTTATTAAATTGATAAGCATCACACTCAGAGGACAGTGAACCTAACAATGGTAGTCCTGCCTGTGATCTGTACTTGTTAACATGGTGAAGACTCTTCCCATCCAACATTTCCACAATGACTCCCTGAAGAGAGAAAGCCCAGGAATCAGCCAAGTTCCAAATATCTCATGGCAAACTGGTTTCGGAGGAAGGAATAGATACCCTTGTTCTAACTTTCAGAACCCCAGGCAAGAACTCTATCCAGGTGACTTTCCCTCCCTTCCTTTGTCACCGTGAAGGTCTCTTTTCCCAGGTGGTAACCATCACTGATCTCCAAGGACTGGTACTGGGACAAGAATTCTCTATTAAGTGGAATCTTCCTGTCGATGACCTGGAGAAGTTCAACTGCTACCCTGATGATCCAACAGCCTCTGAGGAGAGATGTAGGCAGCGGGGGTGTCTTTGGGAGGTAAACGACCAGAAATTACCACATTGATCAGGAAGTTGTAAAAACTGTTGCACAAGTAATTAGGCACCTAGAAAACACTTTGCAAATGTCTGTGGCTTGAAGAAAACAGGATATTGTGCAACATGTCTTTTGCCAACTCTACATGATAGGTCATCACTATTTCCCTCAGATATCCTGAATCAGAAGGAACTTACCGCCATTCTCATTGCCACTCCAACCATATCATTAAAAACTCAATTTTAAATATAATAATGTATGTTGGGTATGCATTATGCATTGCATATATATATTTTTTTCTATTGGAGAACACAAGCAGGAAGGGTAAGTTCAGGCTGTTGTTCCTCTCTATTTGAACAATAGAGAAAATAAAAACTAGAAAGAACAAGTGATTTCCTCTAGATTACATAGGAGACAATAAGAACCCTGGGAGTAGAATTGTGTGTGGAGGCTCCTGTCTCCAGATCAAACTTCCTGCTGCTCTGTCACTGTTCACTCATTATAGAAGGCCAATATGTGTGTTTTAAAAATGGATGTGTTCATTTGCTAGGGCTACCATGACGGAGTACCACAAACTGAGTGGCAGAGAATGACAGGAACTTATTCCCTCAAAGTTCTGGAGTCTAGAAGCGAGACCATGGTGTCAGTGGAGTTGGTGCCCTCTGAGGACTTTGAGGGAGCATCTGGTCCATGGTCCTCCCCTAACTGCTGGTGGCTTCTTGACAATGTTTGGTATTTCTTAGCTTTTAGATGCATCACCCCACTCTCTGTCTTCATGGTCACATGTGTACATGTCTGTCTCTGTGTCCAAATTTTCCTTATTAATAAGGATACCAGTAATATTGGATCAGGGCCTATCCCAAAGACCTCATTTTAACTTGTTCATTGCAGAACGCTATTTCCAAATAGTCACATTTAGAGGTATCAGGGGTTAGGACTTAACATCTCTTTGGGGGACACAATTCAACCCATAACCATGGACATGGTGTCAGAGACTTAGTTTGTGTTAACCAACTTCTTCAGTACAGTGTTGTATCAGAGGCTGAGCAAGACTTTCTCCTGTTGTTCCAGCACACATCTACTCCTGGCGTGCCCACCTGTTACTATGACACCATCCCTAATTATGCTGCCAGTGACATTCAGTACCAGTCCACTAGCATCACTGCAAACCTTTCCTTCCTGGCGGCCCCTGAGTTAGCACAAGCAGAGGAGTCTGGATGGACAACACCAATACCACCACTGCCATCAAGGGATGTGCCACCTCCCACTGCAGCAGCTGCTGTCGCCGCCTCTGATTCTCCCCCTGCAAAGATTAGCTTCCTCCGCCTGAGTGTGATCTATCACACAGCAAACATGCTGCAGGTCAAGGTAAAGACCATAGTGCAGATTCTGGTTCTCAATATGGAGTTTTTAACTCACAGTTCTGTATGGATAGAAGTCACTGAAACAATTAAAACATTTTTTTTTTTCTTTTTGAGACAGAGTCTCCCATTGTCACCCAGGTTGGAGTACAGGGGCACAATCTCAGCTCACTCTAACCTCTGCCTCCCTGGCTCAAACTAGCTTCCTGCCTCAGCCTCCCAAGTAGCTGAAACTATAGGTGTGCACCATCACATCGGGTTAATTTTTGTGTTTTTTGTAGAGATGGGGTTTCACCATATTTCCCAGGCTGGTCTCAAATGTCTGACCTCAAGCTATCCACCTGCCTTGGCCTCCCAAAGTGCTGGCATTACAGGCAGGAGCCACTATGCCCAGCTGAAACAGCTTTTAATCCAAATCCCTCATTTTACAGATGAGGGAGCTAAGGCCTGTAGAGAGGTAAAAATCAGAAAGTAGACGGTAGAGCCAGGATGTGGTCTTAGATCTACAAGGACTGTGAATTCCCTGTAATGATGAGTATTCTTGGTCATAAACATCATCAAAGAATCACCCTTTAGCTCTGAGAAAAATGTGTCTGCTTTGCGGCAAACTCATACGAGAGGCATTAACTTAATTCCAATATTATAGTTATTTCTCTAGCAGTGGTTCTCAAACTTTAGTGTGCCTCAGAATTACCTTCAGATCATTTTAAAACCCAGATTTCTGGTCCTCACCCCTGGGGTTTCCAATTCAGTAGGCCTGGGCTGGGACCTAGCCTGATAATTTGCCTGCCTGCTTTCCTTCCTTCCTCCTTCCTTCCTTCCCTCCCTCCCTCCCTCCCTCCCTCCTTCCTTCCTTCCTTCCCTCCTTCCTTCCCTCCTTCCTTCCTTCCCTCCTTCCTTCCCTCCTTCCCTCATTCCTTCCCTCCTTCCTCCCTCCCTCCCTCCCTCCCTCCCTCCCTCCCTCCTTCCTTCCTTCCTTCCTTCCTTCCTTCCTTCCTTCCTTCCTTCCTTCCTTCC